CACATCTACACATATTTTGTCATTTTGATATTTAAGCTAAGCTTTACCATCTAATGCAAAGCACTCTTTAGGCCCATTTGAGCAGCAACTGATCAACTGTTGGTTTGCCTGTCTTCCAAGCAAAAGGAATTAGTTTTTCTCAATTCTTCATTAAAATAAGTTTAGTGGAGTCTGAAGTAAAGACACTATAACTTCTCCCTATGCCTCCCTCTAGATTAAAAGATAGCATTACAGAAGTTTAAAAAACATCTAGGCTTAACACTCCAGACTCAATTAAACTTCTTTCATAAGGAGGTCAAAATCTTGATATTGGAAAGTTTCTTCATTTCGGCTGTATATCCTTCCGAATTTTCTTACCAATTAAGTAGGTGCTTGGCTGAAGAAAAAAAATGAAAATAATAACACTATAATTTGTCATCAGTTGACAGAGTTTGGCCACAACTAGGCTTCCATGAAATAGACCAGGGAAATAGAGCTGATGAAACAGCACTGCATCGCTGAATTTCCAAATTGGTGAAATAGAGGATATCAAATTATTTTAACATATCAAAGATAATTGAGAGTTGTCTGTATAGATAACCGATGCAGTTCTCACATTTCTGTGTGAGGTCATTGTGGTTTATGAGTCATCTAAATCACCATCAGGTACAATCTAGCTATAAATATTAAAATGGTATTCAGAGATCTTAAAGGACGTCCTTTTCAAAATGTTGGTGTGATCATATAAGTAGTCGACTGTTCATCAATTTGGCATGAAATGTCAAAAAAAAACATTCCTAAGATTTAAAAAACATAAATAATTGATATTTAGCACGGGAGAATTAGCCAAGAAGACCTAAAAAGCATGTCCTGTGGTGAAAATAAACCAAGAAATCATAGACAATATTAAAAAATAACCAGAAGAATGATTTGAAAGGGAGTCCATATATACCCATATCTATAATTTTTTCTATAATCTTTTGGACTGATTTTAAACATGTATCATCAAAAGGCAAACCGAACCTTTAATTGCAAACCAACACTACATCATTTTCAATTTTCATGCCAACCGGTATAGCACTGCATGGTTAAAAAATAAAGCAAAAAAAGGTGCTACTGGGTAATCTTATACCCTTACACATTATTCAAAGTGTCATCATGTGCGTCTAATTGCTAGGAATATCCTCTTACATGACACTGTCACCCCAGAAGACGGGTAGTTTGTATAATTGAGTCTTTACAAGGAATGACATTTGAATGAGATGCCAAGCTTCGTTCTATGAGGTGTAAATTAACTCTGACAGAACAATAGAGCTTCTGATCGACCTGCCAGGCAGACAAGGGGATGACCCCTTTCTCATGAATGAACCATGACCTACTTATAGTTTAACCTTTTAACACATATATGCACAATTAATAAACACAATGAACAACAAAGATTAAGAGAAATTGCTAAGACACATTTTAGTGTATGATGATACAAATATAAAAAGAAATAGCCATATATAGAAATACATGAACATTTGATAATTATACTAAAAGGCAAAGAAGACTTAAAAGTGAAAAATAGTACATAAGACAATAAGGTTTACATTTAAAAGTGAACATATTAAAGGTAAACATAGACTATGATCTTTCTACTATTGATATATCTTACATTTACCCTAGTGAAAATAGATGTCATAAATGCAAGACAATCTGCTAGAACAGATGTCCTCTGAAATAACACCAACCGCCAAAACCCCAGAAAATTAAGAAAATTGGCCAAGCTGATCAGCTAATTATGTTTACTGGGTCTGGTTAGATGTTCCATGGCTTTTAATAACAAGCTCCTCTGACAAGGCAATCAGAGGCTTTGCTAGACCATTTTTTGCAGAGGGGGGAGGGGGAATCAAATTTGCAACAATAATACCAAAGAATTTTTTCAAAGCAAGAAAACACAGTGAAGGTTTGAGAAGTGTCCTCAGTTTTCTTAATTCACTCACAAAAAAGAGATATTAATTTTTTCAGACAATTTACTGACAGTACTTATTCAAATTAACAAATGAGAGGGGGGGGGGGTAGTTCCATCCCCAACACACCCTTCCGGCAACACCCTAGCTGCCTACATACTGTAGTCACTGATGCACTAAATAGATTCACAACTCAAAGCTATACGCAGGGTGAACATCTAAAGAGCTATAAACCTCTCTGGGACCGATCTCTTCACGCTTAGTCACAAGCATATCTGAATTTCTGGATAACGCATCAATACCAGTCAGTACGGAATTCAGCTGGAACTCTTCAACAATTATTCATAGCTAATTACATGTAATTTGAGGAGGCAGGCGGGTGCAAAATAGAGAGGAATTTGATCAGACGGGACATCATTTTCAGAAAGTATAAGACATGAAAGAAAAGTGGAAATGTAAAATAACACAAAAGGTACAGATCTTTGGGATATAGGCTGTATAGCCCTTTGAAGATTATAGCAGCAGAAAAACAAGGAGAAGATATATGAGAGGACTATCGACCTCAATGGAGAACATGAAGAAAAATACTTTGAAATATGAAGAAGGAAGAAGAAATTTTATACAAATTTCTGTAAAGAGCCAATTGGAGAGGACTTTGCAAGATACATCACAGCGTGACAATTTGTGTTTCACTGATAACTTCAACAATGTATAGCTTACTTATTTTTAAAGTGATATTGCTCAAAACCAACTTAATATCAGTGGAGGCCTCCCCTTTAAAGGCACATAGAAGTGGGTCCTCATGGGAAATTTGACACCATTTGGGTGTTTACCCAATAAAAGGTGTAGTGTTTAGTCACAAAGAGTGGACTTCACTTTTAACCCTTACTGTACTGGGCTATTTTGAGCACCCTCTGACTGGGGGGGGGGGGGGGGGGGGGGGGGCCTGGGAGGCCCCCCCCCCTATGATCTCGGCGGTCGAATGTCCGATGAACACAAAAATTTGTATATTTTTAGATATTTACGTAAGGAGCAAGACGGTATAATTAGTTTTTTCCTAATATGCAAATTTTTGTCGTTATAGCCTAATTAATTATGCAAAATGCTAATTTTATGCATTTTACGAAAAACTCTACAAATTTGTCCATAGACTTGTGAAAAATCTTGAAAATGTATTGAATAAATGTTTCCTTCATCTCAAATTCATGAGGTTTCATTTTTTTTATGATATTTGAAAATACATAGGTTAATTTGCATAAATTATAAATACGCAAATTACGCATTCATGAATTTTAAATCTGGAACTATATTTGGGGCCTGTCACCACGAAATGAGTCCAGTTGGTCAAAAATTTTATTCCTGTTTTTAAGTATTATATGAATCTACATTAAGTAAGCTTTAAATTAAGGGGTCACACATTAAAATTGATAAATTATATCCAGAAATATGAACAAAAACCTAATTGGACTTTATAACAATGGGATTACCCAGTTTTTGAGATAATTAGGTGTAAAGTTAATGATGCGTAACATATTATAGTCTGGTCAACAACAACATAGCAACAACACACTTCCCATCATTCGATTTCAATGAAACTTTCAACAAACAAAGAAATAATAAGTCGATTTTCGGAAAAATCTTAAATGTGGTAGGTGGGTCAATTTTCAGTACTTACACACTATACATCGCTATTACTACGATTGAGCCTAATGCTACACTGGACTCATTTCGTGGTGACTGGCCCCATTTAGGGAACTAGGATCATAACAAAAATTGTCAGACTCCACTTTTTGAATGTCTTAACTCATTATTCATATGAAACATCTTTTCTAACACAAAATAGTTATTTGATGTACTTAATAATGATAATTTATGCAAATTTGAAGCGATTTTCAACTATTTATTTTCTTATGTATTTTATTGTTTTTTATTTCTTATTATATCTATTGTTTTATTTCTAATGTATTCTTTTGTTCTGGAATACATCAAGTTACTCTGAGAAATATATAAAAGCAATTTGATATCAATTCATATCTTCACATTTCTGCTTGTACATGAATATATACATATATTATAGCACTTTTTTGATGACATGCGCATACTAATTGTTATGTAACACCTTACAGGTATATCCGATTTTGACGAAAATGGTATCAAAATGTGCGCAAGACTTGAGGAAAAAAAGTCATGAAACAACAATTCAAAATTCCAAGCGGTTGCGGCGCGATCTCCGAAAATGTCGAGGGGGGGGGCCTCCCAGGCCCCCCCCCCCCCCCAGTACAGTAAGGGTTAAACTGCATAATTGTATTTCATCTTAATTTAAACTACATTGCTGTACTTTTTAAAACTTGCTTTCATTTCTCTATAATTGATGTTAATAAGTACATGTACTTTGATTAATCTTGTTCTCCAAAGATGAAATGTGCTATAGAAGCCGCAGTTATTATCATTATCATTAAATATCCTAAATAAGTGAATATTACATATTTAGAATATCATCAAACATGCACAATCTTTATATGATGAAGAACCTCCGCGCTATGCTCTTTTCATCGCTGTCTACATGTATGTAGTTCACTCTACAACAAATATCTATCTTTTTATACCTCTCTGTCTCTCAATTTCACAAGATGATTGAATTGTCTGACTGTCTAATTTTCAAAATTAATTCATGGAAGAAATTTCCCATGCCTTCCTTCCTCGTTCTCACTCTCTCTCTATCTCTATCTTTCTCACACACACACTTTCTCTGACTGGATTCCTACTGTTTCTTCTAATCTTCAGGTCTCTTTCTTTCAATCTTTTACTCTGTCTGTTTTCTCTCTGTCAATACATCCATCTCTTTTGATCTACTTTTCTTTCTTTCACTCTTCTTTGCATGGAGCGGAAAAACTCTGTTTATCTCTCCCTACATGTATGTTGCTACAGTATGTACTGTAGCTACCTCTGAATATCACTATCCAAGTTGAAATGCAAAAAAATAAGTGAAATAAATTATTAAAAAAGTTAAATAAATTTTCTCCAACATTCTAAAAGGTTCATGATCTGTACTTAGTTCTGTTATCTTACTTTGATCCATCGCAGAACTCTACGGTGAGTTTGTTTCCGCTGACCCCTGTGACCTTCGCAGGGAGGTAGCTCATGAGAGCCTCGCTGATCATAGCCAGCACGAAGTCGCCTAGCGCCATCTTCTGGCGACGAGTGAAGGAACCAAAGATATGACGACTGTTTTGAACAGAGACCCGCTCGTCTGCCCATTCCAACTCAAACATAGGGCTACGCTCAATCCGCGATTTCACAACACCTGAACAAATAAAGTAAAATGAACACCACTATCAACTTTAAGAAGAAAAATAGTAAACTAGAATTTCTGAATGTGTGGTATTAAATGAAATTTCCTCAACTGTTTCATACCATATAAGGTCCTCCAATACCTAAATCATTAATGAATGTTCCATATAAGGTCCTACTATCCTTAATGGAACTGAATCGATGAGGTATGTTAAAAGATTAATATCTTACAGATACTTTACAGATTAATTTCATAGAAAAAATTCTCTCTTGACAAAATATGCAAATATTGAATGATATAATTTGCCACATTCATTGATATTCATATCAAATCTAGAGCATGAATAAAGTACAAGAAACAACATTACTGATAAACCTTTAATTTTTTATCACACTAAATTTTCCGTCAAATATTCACTCTTAAAATCGCTGTTTACTGTATCGAATCAAAACTTTGGATGTAAATAAGTGCAGATATAAGTGCAGAAACATGTAATTTAAATTGCTACATCCTATTTCTAACTTGTAGGTTGTTGAAAAAATTGTGGCAGAGGTGAAGTTGATGCCATGTCCCCTGAATTTATTACACTAGAGGAGGAGAAATGGAAAATCCCCATCCTAAAATAATAATAGCCATTGTGTCCAGGCAATACTTACCAAGATAATATCGACCATCCTGTTCCTTCCTTGCGACTACGGGATGCCCCACCCATCCATCCTCCTTCTTCAATATATCCTCTACTACCTGCTTATGAAGGGCGGGGTCAAGAGGGTACAGATGTTCAGAGGGTACCTGGGCTAGCACCCCATTGTAGAACCGGACCTGGTACCAGAGGTCTGGTAGCGCCCTCTGGATGGTAGCAGGGGCATAGCTTGGTGGAAAGTCCGGGTGTCGACCAATCACTGTGTCATTGACCTGAGGTGAGTTAATGAGAGAAAGAAGGTCCAGTTAGGAATCGGGTTTACTGGCATAGGTTCCGTAACTTTGTAATGAAAGGGAGTTTAAAACATTATAATACTCATATTGTCAAAACTGAATGACTAGCGCAACAAAATATAAATAAAAACCATTCTATTGATTGGTAACAAATTGAAAAATAGAAAAATGTACATGTACTGAAAAAAATCATATAATTAAATACTTCAGCATGGTCATTGATCTGGACATGGTAATAAAAAATGTTTTAATTATGACAATTGTAATTCTATTTTTACATTCAAAATCCACACTTTCCAATTTTAAGTTTTTTATAAAAAACAACAGAAATGTAGACTATGTGTTAATGGGTGGTTGAAGTAGGTACAATAAATCAAATAAGCTCTTCCATAATAAAAAGGACCAATATCATTTGATACATGTATAAGTATTTTTTGTACTATCTACTATTCAATTATTATTCATTCACTGACTCTTTACATGCCACGTAAATCATCTCCCTGTGCCACATTCTATTTATCATGGGATAGATATGCCAAAGGCTTCAAGATTATTTAACTATTTCAAGAGGAAGATTAATTCATACTAGAGTTAAAAGGGTTGTCATGGACCTAATCAAGACTTGAAATGGGTGTTTTAGCAAAGCCATTATATTACACAAAGCAATCCTTCTGTCCATTGGTGCCTATTATTTTGTGCTTGTGGCAAACAAATGCCCGTGCAGAGAAGTGAAAAAAGCATCTAAAATGTTAATTTATTTATCTTTATCCATTCTTTACCTGAAGAGGTTGGTTGGCCACTTGTTTTTCTCTTAAGATGAGTTTCTCAGGAACCTTCAAGACAGTGCTGTTGTCATCAACGATGTAGAACTCACCATCATCAGCCCGAGATTTAATAGTACCTAGGAGAAGAATAATCATTAGAAATAATGATATCAATAAGGTCTTGTACAGTGCATTGAATCTTTGAAAATGTCTCAAAATGCATTGTGAAAGGTGAAAACAAAAATTGAAAACATATGAAACACAGTTGTGATATGTACCTTCTCCTCCAGTTATTACCAACTAAGCATTCTTACTTGAGAAACTGAAATGCTATTAAACTGATTTGGGAAATTGAATTGCTAATGAATTTGTAGTTTTTCAGATTTCTTAATAAAGATCTTGCCCATTTGTCAAAAGGAGTTTTAGAATTACAAAATATGAGCCTTTTACTTACAGTTTCCAAAGATATATGCCAAATTTAAAAAAGGGAATGCTAGCCAAACAATTATTAAGTACTCAAGTAGAGATTTTGAAAGCCTATATAGATTTTTATTCAATTATAACCACTTTCTCTTTTAAACTCTGACTTGATGTTTCATATCAATTTACTGTGATTGATTTTATTCACTTCATTTATTCATTCATTCATTTATTCATTTCTTCATTTATTTATTCATTCATTATTTATTCATTCATTCATTCATTCATTTATTCATTCACTCATTCATTTATTTATTTATTTATTCATTCATTCATTCATTTATTTATTCATTTATTAATTCATTTATTTATTCATTCATTTATATACGACTTTGGGGATGGAACATCCCTATCAGCATGAGTGCTGTTCTTTATAAGGATCTACAAATGCTTACCTTGAATGAACCAGCCAGAGTCTGGTGAATACACAATAACATCATCTTCTCCTTTCTCCTCCTCCTCCTCCTCCTTCTCATCATCATCGTCATCATCATCAGTCGGTTGTCTACCGTTATCCACCGCATCTTCACCACTTCTGGCATCATCCTCCAAACTACCGGTCTCATCCTGGATGCTACCCATCTCAGAGGGGACTTTGATGTCCTCTTCATCATCATCTTCTTTATCTTCAATGGTAGACTTGTTGGTAAGCTCTGGAATTAAAAAAGAAAACAAAAACAAACCCATCGTTACTCAAGAGCATACGATCTTAAAATGAAGATGAGTTTAAAAGTTCCCTACATAGTACAATAGTTTTCCCTTTAAAAAGATGGAGGTGTAAAAAGTCGCACCTCAAATTACTTATCGAATAAATGTACCTAATTTCATTGTACATCTTTGGTTAAAAAGCTTTACATTGTTTTTTGTTTAAAAGATTTACTTAAAAAAGAAGCAAACTTGAAAAGAAATCATCGATATGGATGATATAGCACAAAAAAAGAAACAAATAAACAAAATAAAAATGACTTTGTACAGTACTCAAAATTAATCCGCTCTTCTTCATTCTTTGAAATAAAATTATATACTGCTTTCAGAAGTATAAAAGACAAAACATAAATATGACTTCATTCAAGATCAATGTGTAACTATAATAAAACAGAAATTATATAAAAGTTAGGAACAAGAAAATCAGCAATAAAGAGAATTTTATGATTCACGATCACTTGAATCAACAGCTGAATGGTCCTGTTAGAAGTATTACATGAAATTGACATCTGACCTGATACATTATTAGTAATAAAATCTGGCTTAGTCCCAATAGAAAAGAAATCACTGCATGACATGAAATACGATCAATACACATCTGTGTTAGGTCCCTTGGTATGAATAAACATGACAAACATCAAACTCAATTTACTCCCAATGACACATTACAGTGATTTACACTGCATCCATTTTAATTGAAGTCATGCCTTGCAAGATGTTTATATTCCTAACATTCAACAATCTTAGCGTGACCAGATGGTGCCTCTCTGCCGGTGAAGTAAACACAATCCGACATGTTTCTAAACATGAATTCCACTGTTCCACCGTGCACAGCCTGGAAAATGTTTTGACATGAATGCAATATCAATTCGTGATATCATTCACAGTTTATCCCCTATGCAATCAGAGGGTTCCATTTGGAGAAGGTTAATTTGTTTAATGCACTATTAAGTGGATAAGCAAGAGTAACAAATAGATATGGTAGTCGTAATGAGATCATTAACTGTATCGTATGTTTATAAACTGGCTCCAGGTCTTCACAGTTTTCACTTTGCAGGAAGTTACAAACCTTATTATGACTACATTTCCCACTTGCCCAAACAGTTTAGTATCAAATGTAAATTTACAGGTTCAATACACACTTCTATGCTCTTGGAGCATGAATACTATTACTAAGAGAATTAGTTATGATGAAATCTGGGGAAATGCAAATCGAATCAAAATCAAATTGCATCTAACATGCAAACAAACTGATCTACATAGCATTCATTCATTCACACAAGTTGTTGTTACTACAGACAGTTTCAGAAATAAAAGTAAAAGTATTTTTTGTAAGATGGTACTCAATAATCATAATCATTATCAAGTTATTCGAAGTTGAAGAATAATCTCCAGCACTGTGACATTGTTCTTCTAGTATTTTTCATTGTGTTTCTTCATTTTCTGGTTCCTTTTTCTTAATTTCCTAGTTTAACTACATTGCTTTGATGGTAGTCCATCTGATAGATATTCATTCCCAGCATAGCCAACAACCAGCAAGAGAAGAAATAGGGTAAAATAGTTTAAAGTGATGCAAGGAACAATCAGTGTGTGATTGGTTGGTGCAGCCTATAGACACTTCCTCCTTGAATCAGTGTATTGCCGTTTAGTCTACAACCGGTTCATCCACTACCCAATTGGTCTATTCCCATTTGGTCTACACCAAGCCTGTCTACTACCCACATAGTCTAATAATCATTGAATCATAAATGATATAATTATTATTAGACCTTATTGGTAGTAGACAAAATGGGCATTGGACAAACTGGATATTAGACCAAATGGAAATTAGACCAAATGGCTATTAGCCTAACTGGTCATTAGACCAAATGACAAGTAGACATAATGATATGAATTAGACCATGTGGATAGTAGATGGGCTGGGTGTAGACCATATGGGAATAGAAGAATAGGGTCCGTAGTAGATGAACTTGTTTTAGACCAAACGGCAATTCACTCTTGAATCCTGGCACTGAGGAAAGCAAGAAACTGACAGTGTTAGCCTCACCTTTGGTCTGTATTCCACTGTCTCCCGTTGTCTCTAATCGTCTCTTCATGTCTACTATCTCACCTTTGGTCTGTATTCCACTATCTCCCGTTGTCTCTGATCGTCTCTTCATGTCTATTATCTCACCTTTGGTCTGTATTCCACTATCTCCCGTTGTCTCTGATCGTCTCTTCATGTCTACTATCTCACCTTTGGTCTGTATTCCACTATCTCCCGTTGTCTCTGATCGTCTCTTCATGTCTACTATCTCCTGCTCCAGGTCCTCCTTCTGAGTCTGTACTCCAGATAGTTGCTCCTTGGTCTCCCTCCTCTCCAGCTCCATCTGATCTAGTTTCTCCAGCAGCTCCTGGTACTTGCTTGCCAGGGTCTCATTCTCCGCCTCCTTGGATCCATGAGCCTGCTGTATGTTGCTAAGCCTAGGCAAGGTCAAAGGTCAAAAAGTATGATAATGAATGAATTGTTACTAATAGCTTCTGTATCAATGTACAAATTGCATGAAATTTAAATGACACAGCAATGATGATGTGATACTGAGAAAAAGTGGAAGGAAGCAGAACACAACATAAGAGCCACTTGGTCTCATACCGTATTGGGGCACTTTTATGATGAGATGATGTTATGTTTCTTGAAGCTTGAAATGTTCATACCATTTAATGTGGCATGGTCTGGGAATTGGAGTTCTATCTTTCCAATGAGCAATCATTTAAAAACAGCATTAAAACTAATAATTCTAATAACATGATCATCTCAGAACACACGCATATATGATGAGAGATCTAAAACATATAGCTATCATTATCCTGATGAAACCCAGTATCCCAAAATAAAGTGAAAATCGGGGGAAATGTGATCAGGATATTATAGATTCCGTAACCATTTAGAGGTGAAAAAGTGCACAACTAACAGAAGTGTAAACATCTGTGAATGAATATCTAATCTTGACTATTAAAATTGGTTGATTGTGCAAGATATTGTCCAGCGACTATCGCTACAGGGAAATTTTCTAATACTAACCAAATTCCTAACTTCAACTGACAATCCACACTTTACCTAACCATGAACATTACCTTCAACCTAACCTTAAGCCAAACTGCAACCAAAGTGCTAACACTAAAGACTGGAGTAAATTTCTCTGGAGCAAACACTAGCTTTTACCAAATGGTCATGTCCCGATTGACCCCAGCAAAGCATTGCGCACACTAGAAATTACTGCAATGCATGTGCTAGCTTTAATTTGCTTCCCCACCTAATGTGCATATCTTACTGTGCACCTCAGTGTAAAATCAAATCAAATCAAATCAAATCATTTTTCCTTCAGAAGAGAGACTATCACATCAAGACAGTGACGGTGACACTATTTATCTTACCTTAATAATCTTTTCAGGCCCTCAAAATCCACCTTGTAGCCATTTCTTCAGACACAATCATAGTGAATTATCACAAAAACATGCTTAGTAAATTTTGAACATAACGTATTGCAAGCTTATCATACTGTCCCAGGAAAGAGAAAACATGTTTTCATAGGTGTTCTTGGCAATCATCTTTCTTTTGCTACGTCAGACAATCTCTGGCAAGGTTTTGATACTATTGATAGAACTAAATTTCATCAGGAAAGCATGACTACAGCTAGTCCAAAACATTTTGATACTGGTCTATACCCCCAAAGCCTTAGACTGCTCTCTATAGTACTATTTATGCTGAAAAAACCTCAATGAGCAGTCTTGTGGAAGCCAGCCAAGAAGGGTATCCTTCTAACAAATACTTCTCTAATATCATGACTAAATGGCTGCCACTGTACAAATCATTGCAAACAACTTGATCAAATGCACCTTCTGTTCCTTAAATCTGGATAACATTTTCCTGAAATATACATTTGCTTCCATATAACTTTGTTGTCCTTCTTTTTTTGAAGTAGATTCTTATTTCTTAAGTCATCACCAGCTCTATTACCTGTCAGTAAGATCATTATGTGTAGATGCTAGCTGGGTATGTTGACCTTCCAAAACATTGTGTTTGTTGAGTAGTGCTTCAGCCCTCTTCCTCAGCCTCTGATAGCGCCCTTGGATACGATCATACTTCTCCTTCAGACCGGTGTGTTCATCCAGAAGAGCCTCATGTCTCTCTGCCGCTCTCTGGAACTCTTCCGTCTGTTTCTTCTGATCTTGAAGATCCTCCTGCATTGCCTGATGGGATAGATAAGTGGTCAAATAGATACGATAAAAATATACAGGTAGACAAAGACGAAGACTCCTCAAGGGTGAAAAGAGAAATGTATAGTCTTCATGAACAGATAAGACAAGATGGGATCATGAGAAACATGATTGTGTACCAGTTTGAAATGAAGATGACTGATCACTCATAGAAAAATGAAAATGAATCTAAATGGCAGTATGATAGACTGCAAAAGACTATTCATAAACTGGATTATTATTATTCTTTTTTAATGCACAGTAAAACAAGAACAGTGCATTTTGCAACTTTTCCCTTTTTACCTTGCCCCTTATGTTGATGTACGTTTACTGCACATTCCATGACTGAAAGAGTTATTACAAATAGGGTATCATTTTAAAGAGGAATAAATCCACTTTCTAATAGTACTAAACATACTCATGATTATGTCATGACAAGAGATATATAATCGATTATACTTGAGTTTCCAAACTTTTTTGATGGGTTTTTATTTTACTAGAAATTTGATATCTTTTCCACTGAAATAAAGCTCCACGATTTCTCATCTTGCACACACATTTCAAACATTTCATACATGTTCATATACATTCATACAACATCCGATACCTGTTTGCACGTACACTGAGTAGAGTTCTTCTCTGTGTCTCTCAATTAACAATTCAATTATCAGATGACACCTTCTGAAGCAGCCTACACATACTTATTAAAACAAAGAAAATTCTCTGATTCTTGTTCAGATCTTACCTTTTGATTGCCGATATATTCCTCATGTTGTGTTGTCAGCTGCTGTTGTAAATCAACCAATCTCTCCTTTATCTCTGATGATATTACACTAGGCTCATCTTTGGTATTCTGAAAAATTAAAAAAAAAAGTCAAATCTCATCATCATGTGTTCTTAACAATACCCATAGTTTGTGACTATATATATTTCTTTGTCTTTTAAGAAATATCTGGGTCTCAGTTTGGGTTAAAATGTTAATTGTTATTACATTTTGTATACCTTTTCGTCTGGTAGTCAACTATTGAAATCTTTGAGAGATGGGAAGTACAAGTAATAACTGAACTATTAAATTGTAGCTTTGCCATGCAATAGACCGTGACATCTCTCCCTCTCTCTGTTTTTATTTTCCTTCTTTTTGATGGTGTTCATAATTTGTAGTTGCATAAAGTCTATGGCTGCATCGCTTGTGCTTAGACCTAGATAGGTATGATACAAGGAACAATTATAATCTCTGACATCTTTACCAAAGTGACTGTAAAGCTCAAACAGGTCACTTTAAATTGTACCAAGTTTGAAATTAATACTCATGTATAATACTTCCTAAAATGAAACCATTCATAAAGTAATACCACTCATAATCTGCAATCTTTCAATGAGAAAGACATTTCAAGTCAAAGAATTTTGATTTATTTTGATATATAATAGAAACTCTAATCAACCATTAACAAAAAAACAATTTCTATTGATTGATTACTGTGATTGAAGCATTTTTATGTATTTGGTAACTTGAGCCTAGGAGGCGAAAAGCAAACTGAATCACTGTAACCCTCGGCCTCTCCTCCCGGGATAACTGATTGGGGCTTGTGCAGATGGACCACTACACCGGGATTTCCCCCTACCCTTATACGAATAGTGCAGTAGGTTTTTCAGGCCAAGATGGGGACTCTCCTCTACACTGGCCTCCATTTAATGTCCTATCCGAGCAGATCTCTTTATTAGACAGAGCTCAGTCTTGGTAGAACTCATTTAACACTAGAGATATTCTTAAAAGCATCGTTTAACAATGTTAAATCGGAGATACACGGCCCTACGTGTTATCAGTGTCTGTGATATGGTGTAATTGAAGAAAAAAATTGCGCTTCAAAATGATCAAGAAGTGCCTCAAAAAAGTAAAAATCTTTGAGTGAACGGTTTTACCATACCCCTTTTTTTCAGTAGACTGTAGTGTTATGAAAAACGTTTTGGCAAACGGTCTTCAGAGTTTGTAATTTCAATCATAAATATCTTGATAATCAGACAGGCGATCAGCTTGTAAAAGCTGTGGGGTTCCTGACTGACCTAAAGTTTTATAATTATAATTTCAGCATGAGCTAAATCCAATTTTTTTTCTTCAGAATCTGAGACAAAGTTACCGGATCCCTTTAATAACTCTCACCTCTTTATCGCTCTCACTCTCATGGTGATCTTCGTCTTCATCCGATCTGTCGCTATGATCACTGTGATGTGATGAATGATTGGAAGCTGTATCAGAATGATCACTCTCCGACTTCTTTTGGTCCTCTTCTTCCTCACTAGAATCTTCTTCCTCCTCCTCCTCCTTCTCTTCTTCCTCTTCCCTGCTTTTCTCATCTTTTTCCTTTTCTTCCTGCTTTAACTTATTCTTTCGTGCTGCCAGACGTTTGAGCTTATCAATGGTGACAATGCTATCCCTGTCATCCCTGTGTAATAAACAAAATTAAAAATTCACTCAAAGTATATATAATATATAGGTAACATCTACTAAACTTTGAAAATCTTAGTCTCAACATGAACAGCCATCCGAAATGTAGGTATAAGGTTTATAATCATCTCTTTGTTTCATGCACATGAATAGCAGGATGCTGGCCTTACTATTCATATGGCTGGATTGTTCGTGTTTAAAAAATGAAAAGAACTTTATATTACCTGGCTGTCATAAACAATAACTTTGCATATACTTAATATTTCTATTTATTTTAGATGCTATTAATATTGTCACATCTGAATTTGCAAAGTGAAAATAATTAAAAAAACTTTACTTCCCAAAAATTGGCTATGATGGAAAGAAATAGATGAAAATTCATACTGCGGTAAAGTTTCAGAAATCTTTGAGTTAAATTATGATTCATAATTAGACAAGAAAAATGTGCAAAAGAAAAGCAGTCATGCAATGAAAGTTTTCCAATCATCCACCTCATGAATGGTTAGATATACAAATGCTGAAAACATAATTGATTGCAAAGATTAAAATGGGGTAGTTGACGTTGGTCTTACTTTGACATGTATGGTCCTTGTACATCCATGATAAAGCGAACCATTGAGTTGTATTCCTCCTTGGAGATCTTCAGCAGAGCATTCCTCATTATGCTCACCTATCATAAGAAGACAAACGTCAAACAGTTATGACGAAATCAAGGTAAAGAATGAAAAGATCTACCACCTATGTGCTAACTATTCCATGAGTTACATCAAATTAGAGGATACTTATTATCTAATAGATCATTCAACTAGCTACTCAACTCTCTCTCTCGCTCTCTTTCTCTGCTTCAAGTGATATATGTAAAACAAGAAAATTTTGCAATCAAAAGAATTTCATGCATGGTCAAGAGTGGTAACGAGATTGTACCACGAAGTAAATAAATCTAAACATTGAATTTCACAGGTGACAACAGTTGTTTAATAGAAATCTGGCCTCCCTTTTTAAGATCCTTCAACAGATTCAACTCTGCTGGGTACCTTAATCCCCTTCCCCCTCCCCCGAGCGAGTTAATAAAGGAGGATTAGTCAGCTAATGATAGAGAGTTAATAACAGATAAGTCTGATTATATGGACTTACCTTCTCAGCATTGTAAGTGACGATGGTATAGAACTTAGATTGCCTGGTCTCATCTTGAGGACCCACCATGATCATACCAGGTATCCATACTTCATCCTCTGCAGCATCCTGCCTCATCATTACACAGTCTCCAGTCTGAAGAGTAGAAGAAAGACAGCATGTCAAAGGTCATTATATGTTAAATAGCAAAGAACTGCGATTATGCTTTAAGTTAGGTTGAAGATCTGTTCTAGCAGAGAATATAAAATCTGCTTTGGGCCCTTTGCCATATGGAAAATTTAGAGAAAATGATGACATTTAGAAACATGATAAAATATTGGCTGCACTTTCTGTTAAAATTCTATAGATCTATAAACCCTTTCCAGTACATCTCTCAAGTACCTCAACAAGTACAAAGTTGCAAATGTATTGTAATAATTTCTGGAAACAACACCAGTTATTGAGAATAAAAGTTTGGTCAGCTACTATGATGAAATACCAAATTAAACATTAATCTCCAAATTGGGCTATAACTGTGAATTGGTATTAACATCAGGCAGAACATCTCTCAAGAAAGTGCATTTTTCAGATGATTAATATACTCACAATAAGTTTTGGTTGAGCCTGAGCTCCTTTGAGCTGTATTGCTGATGAAGATGAAATCCTGACTTTATCACCTATCACTGGGAAGAATGCATCAATCTGAGTCACGTTGGGGACGCGCACCACCACACCTGTGCAAAGATGATGATAATAATGTGATTATTTTAGGAGTGAAGTATCAGCGACACATTTCATGGCGCATAAAATTAATTGAAGTTAAAGATTTTCCAGGTTTACACCAGATAATTCTTTAAAAGGAACAAGAGCCTTTAGGATGCCCAGGTGAGCTATGCTTAGAGCTCTTTGGTTCTTGATGTTTCTTTGATGGTCTTCAGGAGAATTACTCAAACTTATTCCTTTGAAAGAAACATGGAGTAGCCCTGACAAAACTTGACATACAACGTGATTTTAAGGGTGCTACTTACATCCAATTTTTCACCAACTGCAACAAAATCAACTTGAATGCTCTCTTAAATTTTTATAAAAACAAATGTGATTTGGGGATATTGCGTTCAGATAAAACGGGGAAGTGGTCTTGGCTTTCCTGGATATTATCAGACAAACATGATTTTTTTTTTTTTAATCAACTTAAGGCAATTTCAAGAAACTGTCCATTAACTATTGAAATGAGCGAACATTACAATGACTGGTTACATAATACTGACATGATTTCTGTGGGATGTACGATAAGGCATAGATATTGCCCTTGAGTTGATTTAACGAAAGTATTTGCGATCACGTCAATAGAATTTGGTACAATGCAAATAGAATCTGCAAAGGTATTACTCCAAATGTAGTTTCTATAGAAATAGGTCGTAAACTTTACAGGAAGTGTTTTTATAATGTTCCTATATCTGATCCATGACTCTTTTCTTCCCCATATATTTGTCAATACTTACCCATGCACCCACTCTATCAGATTTGCATTTTGTATTATTTCTTTTTTTTCTCTCTGACCCCATTTTCATGCTTTCTAACCATATCACGTTCCTCTTTCTCCCAGTGTAACTATATCTCTTTCCCTATCTTCTTATCCTTGCTTAATCCCAAACTGACCCTCTTTTGTCCAACCTCATACTATATTGAGGATGCATATGTCCTTACCCTACTGTCACTTTTGATATTTATTTGTCTCTCCCCCTTTTTCTCTATCACTTTCTCTCTCTCTCCCCCTTTACATTCTCTCCCAATATCTTTTATCTCTCCAAATCTCACTGTCGTCCCCCCACCCAAACCATCCTTCTCCATTTATTTTCTATTTTTCCTCTTCTTTTTCTCACCTTGCTCTCCTCTTACCCCTCTTCTTATCTGACTGACCATCTGTCTATCTATCCCATCTCATCCTGTGTACTTTCCATTGCTTAATTGTCTCTACCCTAATCCTCCTCGCCTGGGTAATAAGAGTTCGTCTTGCTTGCTTCTTCCCACAATCTGAGCACCCTGGCTCAATGGATATCATCCTCATTCTCTAGCTTTTCCCTTTAATTAAATCTCCATCTCATTCTCACTCTCCATCTCAGTCTCTGCCCCCTCTCTCTCTCTCTGCCTGTCTCTCTCCATCTCTCTTTATCTCTGTGTACCTGTCTGTCTCTCTCACTCTTCTATCCCTCTAACCTCACCTGGGCTTTTTGTAGTAAAGTCCATCCTGCTTGCTCCTCCCTACAATCCGCGCACTCTGGCTGAACGAATTCATCTTGACACTCCATCTCTTTCTCATCCTCTCTCCGTCTGTCCCCCTGTCCCTACCCCTCTCTCTCTCTCTCTTCTATCCCTCTACCCATGCTCTCCTCACCTGGATAATATAGTCCATCTTGCTTGCTCTTCCCTACAATCAGCGCACCCTGGCTGAACGGATCCATCTCCACGCTCCATCTCTTTCTCATCCTCTCTCTGTCTGTCTTTCTCCCTTCTCTCTCTCTCTCTCTCTCTCTCTCTCTCTCTTCTATCCCTCTACCCACGCCCTCCTCACCTGGGTAGTAAAGTCCATCTTGCTTGCTCCTCCCTACAATCCGCGCACCCTGGCTGAACGGATTCATCGTCTTCACTCCCCTTCCCTTCGTTACACCTTTCTTAGACTTTTGCACATGGCTCTGGGGGGAGGTCTTAAACTCACTGCTTCTTCGCCTCAAACCAGCCTGATAAGCAAAGAGAGAAAAATCAGCCATCAATTTCTGGTCTCATCAGAGATTCACCAGTTAACACTATGAACATGATAGACAGAGAAAGAGGACAAAATATACAGTTCCTCATTCTACCCTCAACAATTGCTATGGTAGACAAAGGAACATCCCTTCACTGCTATTATGTAAAAATGTGTAGAACAGGTAAATGTGCATGTGACACCTGTTCTACACATTTGTACGTAATAGCAGTGAAGGGATGTTCCTTTGTCTACCACAGCAATTGTTGAGGGTAGAATGCGGAACTGTATATTTTGTCCTCTTTCTCTGTCCGTCATGTTCATAGGGTAAGGCTTCACAATTACTTATCATATTAGGAGGAGCTGTGTTTAGGGCAAACCCTCTTTCTAGCAGGCCATGTGCAGAAGTCCCAGAAATGTTTATTTTATAATAGACAGACACAGTCATTTCAAGTAGGGAGAGATTTGCTTGGATGATACATTTAATCAAGCTCAAAATAGATGAAGAAATGGGATACAAAATCCTTCAGAAAGCTGCATAGATTTAAGAATTTGAAAGACTGTAATCAATGTTTTTTCTCCTTATTTCTCTACCAATTAATTGAAAGAAAAGTGAAGTAATTTGGAAGAAATTAAGACGTCAAGATACTGCTACAAATCAGGTTTGCCCCACAACACACTCTTCCAACTTTACCGATACTCATGAAAGACACTCAATGTATATTAATGTAATATTCAAACATTAGCTCAACTATACAGACTTACATACCAGTGCACCATGTGATACAAGGTGGGATTATAAACAACAGCAAATGCACCTTATGAACTGTTAAGTTCTCAAGAATATAGTTATCATAAAATTACAGTATACCTAATATTTATCAGGAATTAAAAATATACATGTTTACTGACTTTAATATACCTGCACACAGGATACTGGCATGAACAATCATCAAATATACATTTTGTATTAAAGAGCTAAATAATCTAATATGCTTCACTTAAACTGAACAAGCTAAAAGCTATCAAAATGTCATGATTATCAAGCAGTTTAAAACAAATATCTTAATCACTATCATAATTTTAATCATAGAATTCTTATCATTTTTGTAGTTTATATACATGAAATTTTTCTTCACACACACAAATAATAGGTGAAACCTTAGTATTATCCCTCTGAAAAGCAAAAACATTGCACAAGCCAATTAACATGCAGGTACACAACACATCCTATCATTATACTCGAAGATAAAAGTATACAGAAATATATCTACTCAATTATATCAAACATAAATCAACGTTCCTCTCTGAAAATTGATAATATCATTAAGGCTCGAGCTGCGTATAATATAAACATTTTATGACCTGATTACAAATGGACGGATCAAGAATAATTTGTTCTTATTAAATTTAACAAGAATTAGCACACACAAAGATTAATATTCAATGAAAGACTGATTATGGAAGTCAGAAAATGCATAATTTCACAAATCACACAATGTTTTTATTTAGTCTCGATGTAGCTACATTGTCTATAAAGTATACAATAATGCATGCTCATAATAAGGCCAATATCAGAAATAACAATATTCCAACATATTTTGAGCCGATATAGAGCATAATTACCTCAGTCAAATATCTGGTATATTGTTTCTACATGTATTTCATAAAATTAACTATGAAAAACATTATTTTATTTCATAAAATTAACTATGAAAAACATTAACCCTTTCGCTACAATTATTCCACACTTTCTGGTTTGGATCAATAAATTTTGATACAGAACCCTAAAACTATGCCAGATGTTTGAGTAGAAAGGGAAAACATTTCTGCACAAACTGCATCTATTTCTGTTTCATGACTAGTTTGCATTTGATGTCAGGAATTTTAAAAAGGAAAATAAGTTTTTAACTCCTTAAGTTGGCAACACATTCAGTGATCCAAAGTCATTGCTTTTCTATTAAAATTGCCAATTTGTTGAACTTTTTGACTACATTCTAGCCCATGTATATTGTTTTCTGAGACATTACATTATATTCTAACAATTAATATACATGTAGCAATAAAAGATAAATATGACCATTTCCAATTTTGAAGAACAATATGTGATCAGTGCAGCCCTAAGAATAATTTCTGTCCTGAAAGGGTTAAGGCCTTGGTCTAACTTTTTTTGTTCAACTTGACCTTAGATCTGGCTTAAATTCAGCGTTGGGTTTCAAGTAGAATTCCAATTCGAGCATTGCATGAGGATAAAATGGTATTATCCTTTGTTGTCTTTACCCCGATTAGCATAATAGAGAGACTCTAGTCTATCATGCGCTATATAAATTTATCTTTAATATTATTCTTATCATTATTTTTATTACAGTTGCGACCAATAAGTTTAGTATTGTTTGGTAGTCACATGTGATTTGAGATGAAAAGTTTAAACTTGTTTGAACTGGTAATGTGAGGGTTAGTTGATAATGAGTGGTCTGGATTAGTTTCTTGTTAGATTGACATGAACTTAAGCCGTTTGTCTACCTCTTCATGACTATCTTTCTCTGAAGACAGGTACTCGTCTTCCTCCTCTGGTGACGAAGACGATTCCAACGAATCCTTGTCTGATGCGCTCCGGTTACCATAGCTAGGAGGAGGTGTCCTTTCCAGCTTGCCCGTCTCATCGTCCACATCGGAATCCTTCTCATCGTCATCCTCATCATCCTCCTCATCATCCTCCTCATCCTCATCACTGTCCCTATCAATCTCATCAAACCCACCAATCCTTGATTTACTCCTGGAGGTTTCTGTGGGTGCCTTAGAGTCTTTGACCTTGTGACCTCCTGAACTTTGACCTAGCCTCTGCTCTCTGATGTGCTTCCTGAGTGACTCGCTCTTCCTGAGGTACCTCTCTCCCTTCTCCATCTCCTCCTCCAGGAGGATGATATCTTTCTCTGGGATGGGCCAGCCAAGACGCTCTAAGGCTTCTATGTAGTCATGGCGATTGTCCAGGAAGGAATCTGGCTCCAGACTAATACAGGGAGGATTTAGAAAGATACACAAATTTAGACTTGGACATGCAGTAAAAATTAAGAGATAAATCAGGTATATAAATGATCAATTATACATATTTACTCATTCCTGTTTGCCTAATGATTTTGTCAGCACTTTCATTACTGATCTACAGTACACTATTACTTGTTTTTCATATGCTGAAAATAAATTGGGGAGAGAACCTTTGCTTGTGCAGGGGCTTCACGATAAAATTCTCCCCCTCAAGAGATTAGAAAAAGGAGATCAGCTGAAGTTTTCAAAAATAATCTTTAAACATTATCTGTTTGATTTGACCTATAATCAATCATCATCTTTCTTTTTTGGTAAGGTTTTATCCTACTCATGTTGTACTTTTGTGTATGGAGCTTTAATGTGATTTCATCTTCTGTACCAGTGCACCTTGAGCATTTGATTGCAAGTGAATGTGGTGCCTTACTGACCTTTCTCTGTATATCTGTAAACATATTGTTGCAAAAAGAATCGTTCATAATCGTAACTAGACTGTGATCTGTGTATCATAACTCAAAAATAGTGTGGTCGCTTCTGATCTTATCAGGTAATTGATGGGCGTTAACATATCACTTCACAAGGAGTTCACTGAAATATGCTACCGAGCTGTGATTGAAAGCCGAGGCTGCAATAAGTGTCTCCGACTGCAATTGATTAAAATTGAGTATCAAACCGCAACACAGGATAGGACGTTAAATGAAGGCCTCGTGTAGAGGAGAGTCCCCATCTTCGGACGTAAAGAACCCACTGTACTATTTATATAAGAGTAGGGGGATACCCCATTGTCGTGGTCCACCTGCACACCCCCAATCAGTTATAATAATAATAATAATAATGGTGGCTTGTTATATAGCGCACATGTCCGTCACTTTGTGACGCTCCTGGCACTGCCCCGATTATTACCCTGCTCTTCGCCTCCTAGGCACAGGTGAGGCCAAATAATTAATAATAACATTATGAAGTGAAAAGGACTTCCCTAAATGCCTGGGGATATACCAACAATCATTCCTTGCCTACAGTATGTACATAAAGTAAAGAGTGGTTAAATAAATGAGGTGAAGACTTACTGGTGTCTCTCTTCTTGTGATAGCGCATTCCATACGATGGTGTCAAGTCTTCTTCTGTAGAGGGTGAGGGCAGCCTTCACCTTGTCTTCGTAAACCTTGAGATCTACAGCTCCAGGGTTGATCAGGTTAATCTCTTGCTTGTTACCAGTCACATGGGCTAGAGGTAGAACCTGATGAATTGAAAACAAGAGGTGTTACAATAACCAAATGACCTTTGGAATAAACTTTGGTCCGGTATTATCAGTTTGGAGTCGTGCACCACAAGGATGTTGCTTGGGGAATTCCTTTGGCCATTTCAAGGGTTATAAAAGGAAGAACCTAAAATATATTGAAGCTGAGTAAACCCGGCATGGTTTAAAAAATAACTCACTTTATTTTTGAGGATATGCCAAAAAATATTCAGCAACAAAAGCTAATTAGCATTGAAGCTGATGATTTATTACTTTGTTTTAAACTACAAAAGAGTATAGTATAATGAGGCAGGTACAGGAATCAAACAAATCATCACTTTGTCCAAATGAAGCCATTTCAAGATCGTGCATAATAGGCAACTACAATTGTTTGTTTCATTGTCTGTTTGTTTGTTTGTAAAACAATGGTGTTTTTTATTAAACCAGTGACAGGTACTTTTTCCAAATTCGGTCTCAATGGGAGATCTGGGCTGGGAAGAAAGGGAAGGGGAAGGGGTTTGGGAAGGGGGAGAGGTGCGGTAGACTTACCTCATTGAAGACTTGCGAGATGACATATTTATCAAGAATAGGGACATACTTGGCCTTCTGTTTGACCATAGTACCCCCTAGAGCATCATAGATGGTCAGCTTCTTGGCAATCAAACCGTTCTTCTTCAACCATCTCTTAGAGGACACTTGGAGTGGACTGCACAGAGAGGAATACAAAAACAATATTTTAAAACTCTGTGTTCAAATGATAAGTGATGTTAAGATAATCACTGTACTCCAGGCTCCCAAAGCATTTCTATTAAAATTGTATGCATAATTCAAACACTTCTGTTTTCAACTGAAATAAACAATTAGACAGTAAGTTGTAACACATTTACAATAAAAAAAAATTAAAAAAAAGTTGTAACACATTTTATCTATAACTTATTGTACATATAGGAAGCAAGGAATTTCAAAGAAAATATATCAAAGAAAAATTCAGGAAAAATGTATAATCAAAGGTGAGCATATCGGCAATACAAAGCATTAGAAGCACATCAAACATAATTATTTATGTTCATGCATTTTGTTTTTCTTAATTTCACCAGTGTGGATATCATATACTGTTTGAATATTCTCTGAACAGATTTGTGACTGACTTGTCTAATTGCCTGTTAAATCAAACAATACTCACTCTGCTTTCTTCTTCAGTTTCTTCTTCTTGCCTTTATCCTGCTGTTTTGCAAGATCTAGATGGGTAAAAAGAAAATATTTTCTGGTAAGTATCCATCTGATTAATGAGTAATATATATCACTTAAAAACATATGCTATAATATACAGAATGGCATAATGATCTACAACCAGGAAATCCTACAATTCCTATTTAACACCAACGAAGATGACCAATGCTGCCTGGAAGACCTAGTGGCAGCAAATGAGAATGCTCTTCAGTGTGCAAGAGCCTGACAGAACATTTGAGCTTAGATGATGGACATGAAAGAAGAACACCATCACTTCTGCTAGGTAAAGTAAATACTTTATTAGTTGATCATCTATTTTTTACATGAAATTTACTGTAATCAGCTACATGCATAATCTTAGGGAATAAACATGGTGCACACATTGTATGCTTGCATTTATCCAACGCCTGAGCCAATAATAACTATAAAGCACTTCAACACCATTGTCACCCATCCTCTCCAATCGGCGCTATAGTTCTCCTTAGAACTATAAGCTCAGAAAGATAACTAACAGTCTTTTTCAAGACTACACCAACAGTCCTTTTCAGGGCTACACACCCTCAAGAAAGATTACTGAGAGTCCTTTTCAGGACTCCTCAATCCTCCCTCTCTCTCACATGGTGCCTACTGTATAACACCATTGTACTAGGTGTCATATAATTCAAGATTACTGACTAACCTTGCAAGGCAGTGATGTATCTCTCTTGTTGCTTGTTGAGTAGGACCTGTGTCTCTGGTACAGCCCAGCCATCTAGACTACCCTTTAGCCTCAACCAACTTGTCTTATTGTGGTCTATAAATAAAATAATATAACAGTATGTGGGGTTATTGATTAAAATATTTGTCTCTGGTAGAGCTCAGTCATCAATAGTCTTACCCTCGACTTATCTCAAATAAACTGGTCTTATTGTGAACTAAAACAAATGGAACATATCAGTTATTTTTAGCTATCTGTGTCTTTAGTTAGTCCGACCATCAAGACTATATCTCTCGGTCTACACTACCTAGTCCTTGTGTGGTATGAAACCATTAGTACAAGATAATGATTTCAAGTTATAAATTAATACATGTACCTCATGGGCTGTCAGACTACAAATTACAACATATAGTCATTCAATTCATTTGGATATTACGCTACATAATAATACTTACATGCAATGTTTGGTGTCTTAGACCTGAACTCCTTAGCAGTGGCTGGTCTAGCAGTGGATGGTCTAGGACGAGGAGGGAAGGTCGTGGTCCTGCTGTGTCCCTTGGGATGGCAGTACTCATGAGAGGTGTTGGAGGTCATACTCAGGGCTGACATGGGGCGACGAGGGGCGTATGTCTTGGCACTCTGGGGTCGGTTGGTCTTGGGCAGCTGAGTACCAGAGGAATCTCTGCTCAGGATCTGGGAAGCTGATCGAGCTCCTGATGCTGACATGGGACGCTTCCTGCAAGAAAATGAAGGTTTCAAGAGAAGGTAACATTCATAAAAAGAACAGAGAAGGAATATATCACTCTAATGTTTATATCTATAGAAACGTATCCTCTTTTAACACATGTTCTAGAATTCTTTTTGTTAAAGATATAGGGGTTAGGGTTACAGTTGGGGTTACAGTTGCGATTGAGTTTCAGGTTGGGTATTGGCTTAGGTATGATAGGGGTTTCAAGGATGATCATGATGATCATGATTCACAGCACTTGTATGGCGCCATTTGTCTGTTTCAAACATTCAAAGGACGAAGTAAGGAATTTAATTAATGATGCATAATGACCTTAGAGCAAGGGTTCTCAGAGAATCTGTCGTACAGACATCTCTGTGAAGATCTCAATGTTCTTGATATAAGAATTTTACGGTTCTTAATAATTCCTTTTGTAATATCAAGTGCGGAAATCAGTACTTGATGAAACTAGTCAACAACCAGAATTCCAATTTCGCTCATATTACAAAAACTTAATTTGCATTAAAACACTTACGGTATGGCATGGTCCTTGCCACAACCCATCTCCTTGCTGCTTTTGTTGCTCCAATCGAGCAGTGCACACTGCCCTCGTAAGTCCGCAAGTTTCTTCAGATCGTCCCGCCCTTTCTTGACCTCCTCCCTAATCAACAGCCTGTCCTCGCTCTCAAAAGGCTGCGGACCTTCAGGCTCCGCCTCCAGATCATCTGCGTAGTAGTGATAGCGCCCTCCAGTGTCTGACGATAGCAAGGCCATGAAGTCGTTCGCATCACGGTCGTTGCAGTTGAAGGAGATACAGTGAATGGGAATGCTCTTCCGAAGCTGCACTTGAGCTAGGATGGTGGGTGGGGGCTATATAGAAACACAAATACAAGACAAATGTCATTGTGCATCCTAGAAACATTATCACTGGTCTAATGTCCTATGACAAGAAAAATATTTAACTCTCATTAAAAGGGGAAGTAAAATAATACGTAATAGTTGAAATTGAAGTTCTAAGGCTGATTTTGTAATCATTTAGGTCACGCTCTGTAGTCAGATAATCATTAAAGACCCTATCCGATGAAAATACAACTTGATATAAATGTAAACGTTGATATATGAGTCATCTCAGTTTGGATATGTTCTTTCAGTATTCAATATCTATACACGCTTAAGCTAAATTTATTAAGAAGACACCCTCCGGAGGATGTTTTGGGTAATTACAGCTGTAATTTACACTTGCAAAGTTTACAAATAATAAAAAGTAGCTCTCTACAAAGAGAAGCAGTTGGGAAACTATATCTGTATTTGATACACAATGTACAATAATAATTGAAATGAGGATGGACAATATTCATTAACTATTTCTAAAAACAATCTCTTATCAAAGACCACCAATTACATAATCCATTCCTTACATTAGCTTTTGCAATCAAATCAGTGCATAATTGATTTCATGCAGGTCAAATGATTTACAAGCACATCAAATATACATATTCAAACATCAACAATATTGCGTTCGCTACTCACATGATCTGGTCTGCCATCGGTCAGTAGGTAAATGGCTTGAGTGGCCGTGTCAGCTAAGGCCGTCTTGAGAGCCATGAGGGTATTGGTTGACCCCGCGACCTCGAGACCTCTGACCCACTGCCATGCACTCTGTAGACTACTTTCACTGACCTCCACGGCTCTGTCTTTCCATCCTGATGCTTTACTACCAAACTTCACCAGGTTGAACTTGGTCTTGTGTCTCAGTTGTTCCTGTAGTGCATGAAATAAGAATTGAATCATGTTTATTTTTAAAAATGTAATAAGAGTTTTATTTTTAATGGGTCACATTATTATTGTGTTGTTAAACACACAGAGGTCAAAAACATACAAAATGCAGATACAACTCAACTCTTCCAATGATGTTGCCTGTGAGTCTTCATAAGCACTTCTTCAATGTTCTCTTGGATAAAACTTACAATTCATTATCTTTACAATATCTTTACAATCATGAAATAAAACAAGTCTCCTCCTGAACAATTTCTAGTCATCAAAAAAAAATACCAGCTTAATGTATCATTCCACCAGTGCTTTGATAACTTGCAATTCATATTAACTTATTTAATCATTTTCAGCTCAAATTTGTACGTAGTCATGTATACATGATAACTTGTGCTAAACAAGTTGTCTAAGAAAGTCTTCTACTACTATATCCAGAATCTCCAGTGATAATTTATCATGATACATAGGAATTTATGTACTATTTTTTACAATATTTACAAATATGATGGTTCCCATTAAAATTAATATGTATTCAATACTCTTATCAATGAGACCGTTGCCTAGTATCAATTGTTGCTAACCAAACTTGGTAAACTGACCTGCATGAGTCTGATCATCTTCTCTTTGACTAGACCCAAATGGTTCTCCATTGAGTTTGAGACATCAATCAGGATATAGACCTGGTCCTCTACGATGGTCCCAAACAGTTCTCTGCTTCCCTGCTGTAACCAGTCCATCCTACACACATATAGAGGAATGTACAATGCATTGTGACTAACAAACTACATATTTCAATTTTTTTTGTGTGCCTCATTTACATTTAAGCATCAAAATAAAGTTGTAAGAACAAATATAATTGGTGTACAATGTTATCAATAGAAATCACACATTTTCTGGACTATTCAATATTTTGCTACTTTTCTTCTAAAGTGCTTTAAACAGTTTCTCTGGCAGCCTTTGGTCTGGGTTTTTGGCTCCTGATTTACCACAATTCTGTTTTTTATATCTCTTTGAATACGTATTTTAGTTTGAACAGTTTTCATTAAAACCATACTTATTCCGGACGACTAACATTTTTTTTAATACACCAGAATGCGATCTTTGTAACAACGTCGACCAACTACATATCATTTTGATTCAAAATCTGAGATTATTTTATGAGTGGTATAGAAAAATATCTTTCCTAGGTTGTCTGAATTCAATATTAAGTTCTGGTAATGACAGATGACAAGTTTTCCCTGGGTTCAATGAAATTACACTTTTATGTAATAGTTGAAGAATGGGCACAGAAAGGTTAGGAATTCAGAATATTCCTATTAAACACTGAACAAACAAAAATAGAGGGACATTGTTTCACAGCCAAATCACTTACAACAATATACTGTATTTTCATTTAGCCATTATAATATGCCATTTAATATTTCCTTGTCTTTCACTCCTTTAATAACTATTCCAGACATGAATTTACCAAAGCTCTCAAAGAAATGGCTTTCAGACCTCTTCTTTTCCTATGACAACACGATTGAATTCAATTCAAATCAATTTTGGTTTATTAATATCAACATATACAATGTACAATTCAGTAGTCAGGGACCAATAATGCAGTATTTACATAAAATGTGCATAAAACAGGAATGATCATATAAATTTACAATAAAAAATGATTAAAAATACAAAATAAAGTTAACAATACTAACCTCCTTTGTAGGTCCCCGAGGGCAGCATTCATCTTCCTCTCGTAGACCCTGTGAACCTCTGCTGTTACATGAACATGCTTGATAGTACCATCTTTCCATTGAAAGTGACAGAACTTGTCACAGTACTTGGCATTCACCAACGTTCTTCTTGTCTCCTGCAGATAAGAATGAAAAGGCAATAAGAAATATTAGCATGGGCAAGTTTGATATTCTGGGATCCCTCAAACCTACTTTAATAGCCATTTGATCAGTAATCAGCAAATACCACCAATGAAACAGCCGGCTACATTAGTTGGACTGACTGATTTTGTAAGCCAATGCACTGACTGACACATGTACATGCCAGATAGTTATTCAAATATGTAAAAAATTATGTTTCTCACAACCCACTCTAAAAACACAATTAATCAATACAGACTTTTCAAACACTCAATACTAAATAAAGTACAAATGGGCAGAAATAAACAGAGATTGCGCCCAAAAATACCCATCAGAAAATAATAGTATATGAAAACAAAACAATCCTAAAGGTCCAAGCCTGCCACTGAACAGACTTCAAAACCTTCCCCTTTTGTTATATTGGGTGGTATACATCTATGCTAAAACATTGGAGCAAACCTAATGAAAGAGGTCAACCAAAATCATAATCCTTAACTTGGACTGGAATTTATGGAAAATGCATATAACATCCAAATAAAATCATATCTAAAGTGTTTAAATGAGGTAAAGTCTTCTTTTGGGGATAATGTGTTCTTTGGTTTGGCTATTTTTAATCTATCTAAATATAGCCTGTCAGAAAAGCAAAAATATTGTTATAAATTTCATTACTTGGAGAATCATTTAACTCTGAGTTTGAATGTTAAAAGAGGAAGGGTGAAACTACTTACAGCATCTGTATAATCAGTATGAGGTGCCTGTTTGATGTCCACTACACCGTCACAATGTCTAAATGAACAGGTCGCCAGGACGTCGTACAGGTCTAGTTTACGAGTCTTGAGCCCTCGCTTGGCCAGCCATTCCTTAGAGCTCATGTACTGCTCGCTCCTCTCCTTCTGTGGCCCCTTTGTCTCCTCGTTAACTTCATCTGGAACTACAAACAGAATTGTATGCAATGATAATGCTTTAATGAACAGTCTTTTATATGCTTGTTAAATACAATTTTAGTAAATAAATGTAATCTAATTTACTACTACATAAAATTACACAAATACCATGTGCCTTTGAGCTGTGGTTTAACCTCACCCGAGACAGCTCTCACAAGATGCTTACCACATCTTCCCTTGGCCTCATCCAAGGGGGATTTGAACCCCTAACCTTCCCCTCCGTACTCACCATCTTGCCTGGTATCTGGTACATGTTCCACGATGGTTTGTACCTCACCCAAGATGGCTCTAGCTTCTTCTAACCCATCCTCCCTAGTCCCTACCAAAGGGGATTTGAACCCCTAACCTTCCCCTCCGTACTCACTATCTTGCCTGGTATCTGGTACATGTTCCACGATGGTTTGTACCTCACCCAAGATAGCTCTAGCTTATTCTAACCCATCCTCCCTAGTCCCACCCAAAGGGGATTTGAACCCCTAACCTTCCCCTCCGTACTCACCATCCTGCCTGGTATCTGGTACATGTTCCACGATGGTTTGTACCTCACCCAAGATAGCTCTAACTTCTTCTAACCCATCTTCCCTAGTCCCTACCAAAGGGGGATTTGAACCCCTAACCTTCCCCTCCGTACTCACCATCTTGCCTGGTGTCTGGTACATGTTCCATGTTTGCACCTCACCCAATATAGCTTGTGTTTCTTCTAACCCATCCTGCCTAGTCCCTACCAAAGGGGATTTGAACCCCTAACCTTCCCCTCCGTACTCACCATCCTGCCTGGTATCTGGTACATGTTCCACGATGGTTTGTACCTCACCCAAGATCGCTCTGGCTTCTTCTAACCCATCCTCCCTAGTCCCAACCAAAGGAGATTTGAACCCCTAACCTTCCCCTCTGTACTCACCTTCCTGCCTGATATCTGGTACATGTTCCACGATGGTCTGTACCTCACCCAAGATAGCTCTAACTTCTTCTAACCCATCTTCCCTAGTCCCTACCAAAGGGGGATTTGAACCCCTAACCTTCCCCTCCGTACTCACCATCCTGCCTGGTATCTGGTACATGTTCCACGATGGTTTGTACCTCACCCAAGATCGCTCTGGCTTCTTCTAACCCATCCTCCCTAGTCCCAACCAAAGGAGATTTGAACCCCTAACCTTCCCCTCTGTACTCACCTTCCTGCCTGATATCTGATACGTGTTCCATGATGGTCTGTACCTCACCCAAGATTGCTCTAGCTTCTTCTAACCCATCCTCACTAGTCCCAACCAAAGGAGATTTGAACCCCTAACCTTCCCCTCCGTACTCACCATCCTGCCTGGTGTCCGGTACATGTTCCACGATGGTTTGTACCTCCCCCAAGATCGCTCTGGCTTCCTCCAGCTCCTGCCACATGCTCACCACGTCCTCCCTGGTCCCCGCCCCAGGGGGAACCCCACTCAGGGGAGCCTTGGTGTCATGGTTGTAGGAGCTGTTCCCGTTCACGTCAGAGTCAAGCTTGTTGAAGGCAAAGGCATGGAACCTGCATGAATAATAAACAACAATATTTAGATTAGTAAGGGACCAAATCTGCTTAAAATTTAAGCTAAAGGCGCACTGAATTGAATGAACAAAGTGGACAAAACAAATCCTCCCCCCCCCCCCGAAAAAAATACACTAAAAGAAAATTCAAATTTTCTGTATAATACTTCTTCATTATAGATACAGGGTCCATATGTGATGCTCTCAACACGAATCTGAGGAACCACATATTATATGTAGCCTCCAGTCTATGTTAAGTTAAGTTATGATTTGATGGATATATACATGTAGATTCCAATGCTGGAACAAATGGCACATGGTTTGGGACTTCAAGTCCTGCTTGGGTACCAATGTCTAAACTATAGTTACTAAGTTGTTAAGAGGGTATAAAATCACTAACTTTTTAAAACAAGTTGATGATAATGAATGTTCAAAAGCAAGCAGAATGAAACAAAACTGAAAGTACCTTGTCCATCTAATTTTCTATCCAAATCCAGCACAATTAATGAACCCCAAAACAAAATAGAGAAAAGAATCCAACACAAACTACATGTATATGAGTAAACTTACCTTCCCCGGTGAGCTGTGATAGGTCTTTTAGAAAGTGAACTGTGGTTGAGTCTGCACTGTTGAATGCAACCGTATTGACAGGGAGAGGGCATCCTCGTACTTTCTGGAATGTTAGCTCCATGGCCGTGTTTGCTGATGATCCTTCTGAGAACAGAAATACTGCTTCAATCTGTATTGAAGAAAACAAAATTACAGATTTATTGTTACCCCGATTATCGGATTCAGGCTTGTCCGTGCACAATTCGTGCACAATCCAGGCACCATTGTACAGACGCTCACAGTGCTAAGAAAGGTACATCCAACCTGGTACCCATAGTATAATTGACTAAAATAATGGTTATTTATAAATATGGCACACCTGGGCCCCGTCTTACAAAGAGTTGATATCAATCGCAACTTATTTGCGATTGATATCAATCGTTACTATGTACATAAGAGATAGGAGACTGCAAACTTGCGATTGATTGGAGGACTTACGATTGATTTGGATCGATCGTAACTCTTTGTAAGACGGGGCCCAGGATAAGCCTCGAGGCAAATGACTTTATTTGCAACACATTTACACAACAATATGATAATGAACTATAATTGCAATAGAGTTGTCAAGGGTGTTGTGCAATTCAATAAACAAGGAAAGGAAAAGGATTTAAAATTCTTCATTTTGCAGTCAAATTTATTCATCATACTGATACAACTGGGAGAGACAAAGAGAGAGAGAGAGAGAGAAAGAGAGAGAATGAAAGAGAGAAAGAGAGAGAAAGAGAGAGAAAGAGAGAGAATGAAAGAGAGAGAAAGAAAGTGAGTGGTGAGAGAGAGAGAGAGAGAGATAGAGGGAGAGAGAGAGATGGGGTGGAGGGAAGAGGGATATTATTCTGGTGAGTATGGGTATAAATAAATCTAAGGAAGATAAAAGAAAAGAGGGAGATAAAAGGAGAAGTAGAAATTGAGTGATGAAAAAACATATCAAATTCAGAAAGAGAAAAAGGCTTAGAGAGACAGAGAGATAGAAATACAAATATAGAGAAAAAAAGGGATGGACCATATGATATTGCAGCAAAACAGAACAAGTACGCAGTCCCTCATTGATTGTTAACTATTACGCGTGTATGTCTATTCGTTTTGGTCACAGAGTGATCAATTATAAAAGGTACATATCCCATTTTAACATGCGCATGATGCTCTAGCTATCTACGGGCTTTAATTTAATATACAAAATCTATTAAGACTGCTTTTACACTTACGAACTGACCCTGCTATTATTAAAAAAAAGTACAGTCAGTGAATTCACTTGCTACAGGCTTAAAGACCTGATTTACGAGCACATCACCATGGTGTAATGATGCTTGAACATGAAACCATGGCAACAAGGCCAGGGTGAAATTGCTTGCTTTGTACTTGCTAGTGTATTATAAGGTTATCTGAGCATATACTCTATGAAATGGCTTTTCTAAAGACGGTTATTAACATGGTACATGAACGCTTGCTTAATTTACATGTAACACAATCATATTGTCAAAGTCGGTGTAAATAAAAATATCAATATTCAAATAAGGAGCCCCCTAGTAAACCAAACCCATTTCCACGGTTCATTTGAGCATGTAGCACTTTTAAAGAAAAACACAATAAAGAGCTTGTTCCTTCTTAGTGGGGATGGTGTCCGCCATTCATAGGCGCCGAAGCGTGACTGGAAAAATCAATGGGATACCTGAAACAGCTCAATACCTCCTCTATGCAATACAATACATATAGAAGGATGGATGAGTGCTTAGAAAGCCGCTTGGGGCTTAGAGAACAATAGATTAGCACCCTGGAGAAGCTAGCCACCTTTAAGTGTGTCTAGCATCTATTAAGAGCTATCTTAGCTGTAGTTATACCACAGATGCATTATTTCTAAGAGAATGGTTCTCCTCTCTATCTTGCAATTTCTCTTTCTTTTGAACATTCAAAACTACATAATTAGCCTGAAGCAGTGTTTGTTCTGTCACATGTGTAATGATACACTTCAGATACTGCACTGCATGTAATGCTTTTATTTGAAACAGTGTTTGTACTGTATTTACTGTTGCACATTTAACGTTACTCTTTAGATGCAGTGTAGGTGTAAGGATGCTTTTGTTTGAATCATAGTTTCATATTTTCATAGCCTCATATTAGATGAGATATAAATGTACGGACAACCTACATGTATACTTAACCATTATTTTGATATATTACTTTTTTTAAATCCGGAATCCAAGAACTAAATAAAGCTGACAAAATGGTAGTCAACAGTAATTCTGCAAAGTCACTTTGTATTTCACTGTATCCTCTTCTCTTTGGTATTTTCAGAAATAAAACAAAAATCAATTATCAGAAAAAAAGTCTAAAATGAAATCAAGGGAATGCGACTATATCCATAGATCTGATGAAGCTATGAATTCTCGTCTGTGACAATTAACCGGCTTAGAGAACTGGGTAAGAGCCTCTGCAAACAGCTATGTTTTACCCATACAACATTGCACTGCATGTAGTCAATGAAAAGACAGAAACTTTGTGAAATATTCATACTGTGAAATATTTGAATCTAAATTCACGAAAGGATCATGTCCTTAAGTTTCTGGTTTTACAAAATGTGTAAAAGTTTTTATTTTGCCATTGCTTCTTTTATAAGGGAGTAATTTACTTCTTTATGTGATAATGGTGCTTAAGGATGCAGTAAGGATGAATAAATAAGACTTACATTTCTATCTGTGAATGCCTTGAGGATTCCTTCACATGCACTGGTCTCGGTAGTAGCCGCTACACCATCTAGGGTTCTAACCCATTCCATAGCTTGGTTCAAAGAATCCTTCGTGACCGCTACTGCGTGCGGCTGAAACATGACCATGTCTTGAGCAGCCCTATGTAATACATCAAAATAAAAACATAAAACATTTAAGAACTGTTATAAACATATTTTAACAAAACATTACCTTCAGCTTACATTGTATATATAAAACAGTTCTACACATGGTGGTTTTATGTCAATGTAAATCAGTCATGATATAACTGTTTTTGTTCCTTTAATTAAAGTTTTCAAGATGTAAAATGTATACAATGCAATATAGCAAATCAACAAGATATAAATTATGACATTAAAAGACTCCATGCTCTTAAAGAGATTTAGTTTCACCAAAATCTGTTTATTAATTTCTGATTTTTGAGAGAGTTTGAAGAAAGTTAATTTATAAAAATTAACAGAAATTGTTTATTCTATAGCATTAGAATCTGCAAAACTGGTTCCAGGTATATGTTATTTATTTCATGAACAGCATTTTAAGATTCAATGTTTTAATATTTTATGGTAAAAGAATATATCATTTGATGCTTAGTATTGAATGTATGATCAGACTGGAGAGAAATTGAATCTTGCTAAACAACAGTCAACCCTGCTTTAGTGACCACCTGTCTACAAAGACCACATTTTTTTGTTTCCCTTGAAAAGGGTTTCTCATTGTACTATATGCACCTGTCTACAAAGACCACCTGCCTATAAAGACCATTTTTTCATTCTACTTTGGGTGGTCTTTATAGACATGTTTAGCTGTAAAATATATACAACATCATGAACTCTGACTGCATTTACCTGATGAGATTGAACTTGGCAACCTGTGAAACCTGATCTTCTAGAACTCTGATGAGTGCATTGCGACAATGATCAAAGTGACTTGGTGAGTTGGTCTTAACGTCTATCACGATACAGACACAATGCTCCTCTATGACTCCAAACAGACGTCTACTCTCGCTGGTCAGCCAGTCAATACGACGCTTGTAGAGGTTGATAGCTTGAGCAAGACTATTCTCTATCTGCTTGATCTTCTCCTTACTTATTTTCACCTAAAAACAAAAATTAGGTGTGGGTAAGTTTTGAGGAATGCATCCATAATGACTCAATCAAGAATCTGATCTCCCATGATGATCTTTACTTCACAGAATTTCACCTACAAAGACAATTTGGTATTACAATTATACTGTAATAGTCAGAAAAGTGAGATTTATATAAGCTACATGTAGCTCTTAAAGTTAAAAGGGAATTTTCAATCATACATGCACCCTAAATATAATCACAGCAATTTGTTTTATTTAAACTCTAATCTATTATTCTATTCCATCGTCAATAATTAACAAAATGTACAGAGAAAATTGGAGAGGAGCTCGCATGGTACGTCACAGTGTTGCCAATTTATGTTTCAATGACGACAACTTCAAAAACTCACAACTTAATTCCTATTTTCAATTGGATATTGCTCAAGATTTCACTGATTTGTTTCTCTCATTTGTTCTGCTTTTATTAAACCCAATCCAATATCAGGGTGGACTTCCCTTTTAAATATGCTGTCATAGTCAGTAAAGTGAGGTGTATATGTCGCTAGAGTATATGATTAAGTCTTCACGAGCATACATTTTCATCTCCATGTCTACATTAAATGTTATTTCTAATGGTTTGTGACATATATTTTTTGTATTAGGACAAGTAACACATTCTTTATTACGATGGTTAAAAAGTGTATATAATCCTTGATTTCATACATTAAATAGATATCTCTGTTTAATGGAGACAGATATTACAAAAGGTATTTTATGCATATGTTACACTAATCTACATGCATGCCTTAATTAGCTAATTGCAAGTCATCACCATTTACACAATGCAAATATTAACTCATTATCCCAATGTGTACATGTACATGTAGATCAACAAATGTCATTAAAACAAACATAAATCTTTCTCCAATGCATAACATGATGCTGGTATGCAAACCAGGAGCCTAGAACACTTACATTCACGTTGTATATCTTGCCGTCTCTCCTTGGAAACCGTGTAAACAAACCCTCGCCGTAGCGAGAACAGACGGGCTTCTTCAGCGAGCGATCAAAATCTATTTGAGGAATAAACAGGAGTAGACTAAATAAAAGTCCGGACCAACAATAGAAAAGCAAATATGAATGACAATATAAGGTCAGGCAGTGCTACTTGAGTCGAGTACTAGCTGCTGTCTACTTGTATGTCATGTTGTGTTTTATCACTCTGGGGTTTCACTCAGTCTACCTGGTATTAATCTGATCTCTTATGTACACACTTACTTACCTGTCACCTACTGGGGATGTTTAAGTGGTTCAAAGTATTATCTGCTTTTAAGTCTGTTGAACTACATCTATTAGCTCTAACGTGTTCTCCTTTACTGGCTTAAAAAATATGATCATTGATATCAAATTTGCTAGATAGAGAGATATTATCCATAACACCTCATTCATGTACCTAATATATATTATGTGGAAATACATATAATAGGATTGTACAAGTAACATATACATACAGTGTACATGTACATGTAAGCAATAAACAGAAATTGAACCAACCAGTGAAATTCAGATATACTAATTTGACACCATTCTTTTAAAAAGAAGGCTTGTTCATACAATATGTAGTACTGTAGAAATATGAGCATATAATCATATAACAATACTATGATTACAACAGTGTAAAATTTCTTGAAGGAATTATCCTGCTAAAACAAGAGAGTTAAATGACTATTAAAATGAATGTTTAGGTCTGGATCTCACCATCACTGTGCTTGAATCCAATGGTTCCAAGGATTTGGTCTAGTTTAAGTCTGTTCCTCTTCAAACCGTAGGTACTGAGCCACTTCTTGGCCGAGATCATAGCCCTGACGTCTGGTTCCCATGTCGTCTTGGGAGGAGGTTTTAATTTGATGACCGATGACATCTCTTCAAAGGTTAGCTGAACTTTGCTGCCAGATGAAGGACTTCTCCTAGGGCCCAAATCAAATTTGGGGTCTGAAAAAATAAAACGAAATACAAAAAGGGTTATTTATAAACAAATAACATGGATGCAATGTATTTAGACGCTGCAAGCCTTAAGCACCTTAAGAATCAAATTTTGATATGGTATCTAACATTTTTCGACAAATTTAAATATATCGATAATATCCCTCTTCTTCAGATTCAAAGTGGGTAAATGAAATGTGACATATTGGACACAACTGAACGATGTTTGTCTTGATGGACAGTGAAAAGGGCATTATACACTGTAGTTAATCTCTTTTGGCATGATTGTGGTAAAAGTTTAAAAGCCAGGGTCCCGTTACTCAAAACCATCATACATGTAAGTCTAAGTTTGTGGACATCCCATAGAAATGCGTAAAAACATGTACTAATTCTATAACACACAATTCAATGAGATGTCTACGAATTTAGACTTACCGGTATGTCAGTTTCAAGTAACGGGCACAACAAAGGCAACATGAAAATTTCAGGGTATTATATCCCGCGCAACAGTGACCTACATGTACATGTAACCAACCAAAGATTTTTATAATGCATCTCAGTGATGACTGATAGCTACAGGTACTAACTTGGAATAGACAAAATATCAAGGAAAGTGGAACCCTTCATGTCAATCAGATATTCAGTATTCTTTGTAACTTGGTACTTGGTACAATATGACCATTTGAGTACCAAGACATGTCCTAAAAAATGAATCGGTCATATCTTCTTCAGAATTATTCATCAAACCATGGCATATGTATCATATTTAAGACGGGTCATAATTGTAAACAGGGTGGATGTTTCAATAATTGAACTTTCCTCTATAACAGAAAGTTTACTGTTTAAATAAAATATATACCTTTTCAAATGGATTTTCTCTAATTTTGAGTCATGAAATTAGTATTTTTGGCTACATAGCTTTAGGTTCCTGTGATATCTGATTTGCTGCTCTCATTAATTACCACTTCTTTTGACCCATATTGGTTCTAATGTCTTCTTCTTCTTCTTTTTCTTTGCGATGCAGTCTGCTTCCTTCAATCTTGAAGATTCTTGCAGAACTTTGGTGTAGTGTGTCATATAACTTTATAACGATAGGGTGCATGTGCCAATAATTAACAAGGTGCATGTAAAAACAGCATTAGATCTAGCTGCTGCAGCCTCTTGAGTACGGTACATGTACAGTAAATCACTGATAAATTTTTGATGGCATTATGCAAACAACTTCTTCTTCTTCTTCCGGTTAAAGATGAAGTTGAGTTGTGGTCATGCGATTGCATTATGAAAGAAACGGTGTGGAACCGACCAGAAAAGGTTGATCATCTAGCATATAAGAATGTGTGTGTATTGCAAGGTTCTGGAATCATCAAAATGATAAGAAATTTGGCCAAGTCTTGGTAAAGTTACAAACACTTGCACAGAAAGATGTATATGGGACTACACGAACACGTGGCGTAAAAAGCCCGCCCCCGATTTTTACAATGTTACATGCATATTTAGAATATGAAGGCATTTAAAGAGCCATGCTTTTCAGGGAACATGTCTTAACTGATGTTCTTCCACACTTGCATAATAAGAATGAGTAATGCTCACAAATTTTTTTTCACCTCTTCCCAGAACTCAACCTTCTCTTTAAGTACAGACCACCATTGGCGTATTATCGTACTTGTGCTTCTCGAGTGCCCAGATGAATAGTGCAAGTAAAAATCTCACTACAAATTAATACTATGTGCGGCTAAAAAACAGAAGGGGCTTTACGAAGCCTCATTTGTTGCACCCCCTGCTTGAAGATCACTAAGGAGATGCTGTCGACTATATACTGTGCAGAACATAGAACTCGAGTTTACTCTAGAAAACTGGTAAAGAAATATTCAAGGCTAGAATAGACTTGATAGTCATACTCGTCAAATAATGCAAGCCTTCTGTATGAGTCGGTCTAGGTGTTGTCCATTGTCTCATGTTATTACACAACCTACTCCACAAAAAGCAGTAACCATGGAAGAATCCTGGATCGATGAAAAGGCTTAGACCTACAACATCAAGTATTAAAGTAAGTATCGTCTGATCGCATCAGGAAAGAACTCTTTGAATCTCACCCACATTTATATTCATTTTGAAATTTTTCCTTCCTTTCAAGATATTATCCAAATGATGCTTCATGCAGCAAGAAAGGAGAGCCCAAGTGAAGGTAGCCATGATGTTCTGTATCAAGAACTCGCTGATATCCATCCCCCAGACAGTTCTGACCCCATCACTACCTGCTTTGCTTAGAGGCCACGACCAGAAACTCCAAGTGCCATATGCTCGGACACAAGTTCTTCAAAGGAGCTTCTTTCCAGATGCCACCAGACTCTGGAACTCACTACCGCAGGCCGCCGTCACCTGTACCTCTCTGCTAAGCTTTAAGAGAGAGGTACTCAAGATCCAGCTCCGTTAAGCTACGGATGTCTTTTTAACTGCACATAGCTCATTGTAGACCTTTTACTGAGACACTACATGTATATATACACCTGCACAGCACCTACAATCAGTACGAGTATACACCCGACGGTGGCCTGTACTTATAGCGAAGAAGAAGAAGAAGAATGGAAGCACATTTCTCTTCTGATTTTTCTGACATCCACAATGCACGCAGAAACAGCAAAAACTAAATTATTCAAGTCTAAAATAAGTTCTCAGGATCTAAAAAGAAATTTGACCTGATATTAATCATTATAAATATAATAATTGCATAAAAACGAAAATAATGTAATGACATGTGTAATTAAATACAACTTACTTTCAAAGTCCCTAGGAGAACGAACATTTGCTGGATCTATTTCATACATGGTCTGAAAATCATGTGCACTCTTCAAGTTGGATTCAACTACTCCATGCGTGGCACACAGCACAGAACAACAACACTGCACTCTGCCCGTGTATTACACAATGCACGCCATGGCTCTGGCCCGGCGGCGAGATCTGGAAGTGAGCTCCGTATCAACACTCAACAGGCACGGCAGAAATATCTCATTCGACCACAAAAAAACAACACAATATTTAAAATTCAAAATATTACATAGATTTCTGTCAGAATCAACAGTGTTGGACTGCCATTATGTCTGACGTATGAGGTCTAAAATCCTTTCAAACGAAATAAAATCAGAAAATTGCGGGGACTCTCGGTGGGATTTCCGTGGTTGTCAGGTGCCGCTACCAGTTGCTGGGCTCTTGTACACACAACGACCAATCAATTAGCGACTTCGGCTATCCTCGTTCAACAAAATTATTTTAATTGAGCAGTATTGGGGTTTAATTTTATTTAAATTATCTTTTAAAACAAACTAGATATATTTTTTCATTTATAAAAATTATAATTCTATATTTTTTGATGAACAAAATGATTTGATACATGTGATAAATATGATTTTCTACCAAGCTATATACAATTACACCTGTTTCCTATTAAAAAAGTGTGCATGAATGACATTACCCCTAACAGGGAAGTGGAGTCTCAGAGAGTTTTCTTATTAAAACATTATCTCAAAATGGTTTTAATCTATATCTTTTTTGTGCCACGGGGTGGAAGTAATATTTTAATCCTGTATACTTAGATATGTTTGTGAACGAAGTTACCTGTCTCATAAACGTTAGTAGAATCAAATCAATAAGATTTCAAAAATTCTCCACTTTGGCCTTGAGCATATTGAATACCTTACAAGTGCCTATAGAAATAGTTCGGATTATAGAGGCAATCGTATGATGCCAGTATAGCACCTACATGTAAGTATCGGCTGCTGTTTGTCGGTGTCTTTTAATTTTCAAAACAAGTTTTTATTGAACAATTAAAACTGCTAGTATGCATGTAGATCGTTCAAAATCATCATAATTAAGATAAGAGTCATTTGACAGAATCATTAGATAAAATAGTATTATTCTACCTTCTCTTTTACAGGGAGCAAATGCAATATGTTTTATCGGCCGATACCCTGGCGGACTAGTGTTAAAATGAGGCCTACTTTCTTACCATTGTTTTTGTCATAAAGCGCCCCGGGCCAAAATGTAAAATTACACTTACTATTAAAATCATTACCGAATGCATGGAGTTGGGAGTAATCCGTGATTGAAATGGAGGTCCGATATCCCCCCCCCCCCCCGAATATGAGTTTTAAAAATTATACAGAACCATATCGAATTGACTATTTTTTAAATGACAACAACAACATGAGCAAGAGTAACGACAACAACGACAATAATTAAACAACATTATCATCATCATTAATTGTATTATTGTTTTATTACTCTAATCATAATCATTTTCTTTTCATTATGTAATATCATATACATTTTTCCTTTTTGTAATAAATGTAAACAAGACGAGCCTCCTTTGCAATGGCATTATGAACAATAAACAATGAATAAATGAATGAAAGGACGGTGTATATCTCATCGTGACATATGAATGAATTACTTACTGAATGAATAAATGAATGAATGAATGAATGAATGAATGAATAAATGACTGACTGAATGAATAAATGAATGAATGAATGAATGAATGAATGGATGGATGGAAAATTCAGGATGATTGAATGACTCTCTCAGAAGGTACAATCATTATATCACCAATAACATTTTCAAATCCCCTTCTCTTTTTCTTAAACACTAGTGTCGTCAAAATGCATGATGATCAGCTGATGTTGCCTGCCAGTGGTAACATATAGCATAATTTTGTTCTCCATTTGTAAGCCATTCAAGTAATTACATAGTCATTTTTAAAGCTAAATCAAGATTAAACACGACTTGAATCGCAGTAAACAGACACAACCCTGGTAAAACAACGAATTATACCCAAAACAACTAACATCAATTTCTCAAATTTAGATGTAAATTCTGAATGAGTAAGAATATCAACAGATAAGGTATCATTAAAGTATCAAAAATAAAACATATAAACTCACCCATGATCGGCCGCATTGTTTTAATCATCTTTGCATAGTATTGACAACAAAACAAGAAACATTCAACCTAAAAATATTCAAAATAGAGAATCAATTTCTAGGAGTCATGATGGAAAGAAAGAGAACAGATATGCGCTGTACGTTACTCAGTCCAGGCTATCATAGCGCCAAGTGTATATTATAGACGGTGTAGCACACTATCATGACATTGCAGCCGGTAGCTAGAGTCCAAAGGCAGATGGAATATATCGATAATTAGAATCACCGTGGAAACGGCAAACACAATAAATGGGTGGAATAGTAATTATGTGTCAACACACGCACGCGCTCGGTACGATGTTCATTAACATAATGCCATGCGTGTAAACAGATGGTGTACATAGGTCACAAATTAATTATCAGTATACTAATGTGCATTTATGGTTGTTGAACTTGATTGTCTGTTTTATTAATCTTTGAACTTGAAAAAATGAAAAAGAAATCTATTATTGTAATAAAGTAATTTCGTGAAGGTTGTAGCAGTTTTTTAATGCAAATATCACAATTTATTTTCTTTTTATATGGACTAAAAAAATTATAAATAAAATTTCAAAAGTCAAAAGAGTGTTTAATGTTATTTGGAAATCGGGTTTGCATGCATAAATTTCTATTCACATCTGTACATTATTCCTTCTATTTATAAATCACCAGGGCCTTGTTTCGTTCAATTTGTTCCTGAAAACAAACTACCATTGATGTTAGGAGCTACCGAAGTTCCTACATTTGATTAATGTTGATTGGCTAGGAGCAGGGTTTTCATAGATCTGTGGCAGGTTTTTTTTATAAAAGGTTTTATAAAACAAGGCCCTGATCCTAACACATTGACGTAATGGCTCAACTAAACATCACTCGAGTTTGATCCGGAGAATGCGTGTTGGAACTTTGAAATAAAGAAGTGGAAAAGGAAGTGAAGGAGTTAGACAAGAGAATGAAGAAGATATAGAGAGGGGTGGAATGAGGGAAAGAGAATAATAATTATGATAGAGAGAGAGAGAGAGATAGACATACAGACAGTCAGACAGACAGACATACAGCAAGACAGGTAGATACAGAGACATACAGACAGTCAGACAGACAGACATACAGACAAACGGACATACAGACAGACAGGTAGATACAGAGAGAGGAAGGGTGGGTGGTAGCAAATCATTCTGACATTCAAAGGAACGTTAATATAGATTGCAGACTATCAATAATAATGGGCGAAGCGGTGAAGCGTACATAAAGAAATGAAAACATCACCTATGCAAAGTCACGCCTCCAAAATAATCGTCCAATCACCGGTCGCGGTCAAGAAGATCAATCAATAAACTTTCTCCACAGAAATCAATATTTATCGATCGCTGGTTATAGGATAGCCCAAATGCCCAAAAGCCAAAATATACCAAGGAATTCCGTCAATGTATAATATTATTTGCCAAGTCGAGACTTAAAATTAGACATAACTCTAGGACTGACTGAATTCAGAAAAGGTGCATAATTGTATCCGGCTTTTCATTAACGGACGTTGTCTGCCATAGGGTTTCAGGATGTCATGTTTCAATGTGGTAAGTCGTTTTCAATTTTCTGAATGTAGGTACATGTAAATATTTGCTACTGACTATACTGGTATTGGTCCCATACCTTACCATTTATGTAATTAGGTAATGTTATATTGTTTGTCGTCTAAAAAGAGCATTTTCGTTATCAAGATCTCTCCCTCTCTCTCTCTCTCTCTCTCTCTCTCTCTCTCTCTCTCTCTCTCTCTCTCTATCTATGTATATATCTGTCTTTCCTTTCCACCTCCTCTCTCTCTCCCTCTTTCTCCCCCTCCCCCTCTCTCTCTCTCTCTCTCTCTCTCTCCCCTCCCTCTTTCTCTCTAATTATTGACAGAGAGTTTAGCAGTAGCCTATCGAAGAACAGTTCTTATGATTTTCAGCCCTATACTCTCTTTCTCGGTCTGTACTTTGCAGGAAGGACAGAAGCAGACTTCATTCGAAGAACTCCCCAACAGCGATGTTTATTTACAGTTCGAAGATGAAAAACCTAGAGACCCACTGCAATTCCCGAACAAAGGTGGTAAGTAGCCGACTATCATATTCTGTGATATTAAATAATGTTGATATATTTGACACACAATTTATACCACTGAATATTTTAGAAATTGTACGTACCTAATAACAATTGATAATAATCATAATAGCTACATTTAGTGCGCACAATACATCCAAGAGGTTGTTCAAGATGCCTATACAGAGTAGTATTTACCCCGGCCGCTTTAGGCCCATGCAGCTGCCCTAAGACGCTATAGAGAAATCCTACCAGGCACCCATTTACTACATCTGGGTGGAGAGTGGCAATTGCAGATTGATGCATTACCAAGGGACATTAGTACCGCGGCGGAATTCGAACTCGAACTATAATGATCCACAGTCCGGTGACGTATTCGCTAGACCATACACGACAACTCCATATACGTCATTATAAATAATGTTGATAAGCTTTGACACATAATGTTTACACCACATTAGTTGATTTCAGAAATGATAGTACCAAATGATAGTACCAAATGGGCACGTACAAATTGATATGTGAATAATGTCATCATCTTCTCTTCCCAGATACGTTCTTTAAGCCACCCGGCCACTCTTTACTCTATCACTTGAATCAAGTCAAGAAAAATGCTCTCAATCCGGTCGACTTTGCTGCCAGACTGGGAGAGCTGGTGCTTAACTCCGGTAAGAAAATGAAGAACTGTCCTTTTTAATAATACTCAGACATAGAATATTTTGATTAAACCCATCACGAAAAAACAAACATTATTTAATGGGTTTGCTTCTTCTTCATGACATTGATCAAATCGTATTTTTTTTGACAATTTTGGTTCAATGGAACGAACCTGGAAGTAAATTATTATTATCAGATTTGTTAACTTCCTTGATCTAGGCAACTTCTTAATTAAAAGAAGAAAAGAAATATACATTTTTAGTTACTTTCGTTTTTTGTTATAGATTAGGAAAACATAACATCATCTAAGCAGCAGTGACCATCAGAAAACGTGTTATAAAAATATGTAATATGGTACTTATACTATTCTTCCAATTCTATCCTTTAGCTGTTTAATAAAGGGGTTAGGCTCGACTAGCACAATGGTCCCTTTTACCAAACCAATAACTTCTCTTCTTGTACAAGTCATGTAAACACAATGTATGAAATGTATTACTGTATTGCTGTTGGTTAATAGAATGAAATCAATCAATCAATCAAAACAATAAATTCTACAAAATAGTTCTGACGTGCTTTGATTTTATGTAGTAATGATAACAATGACAAAATGTGAATATGGGTTTGTTTATATTGCTGTCAGTGTTGTTTGAATATAATTGGAATAACAACTATCTGCGTGATTATCAATTTACATTTAATGTCAAATGCCATTTTTCTTTTACAGTATACATGACTATGCTGATGGGATTGTCGTTAGGAATTCCTATATCAATGCTTTATATGGGTAAGATATATTATATAGTAATATTCATTAAATTACTGTTCTCTTATATCTGATTGCTTCATGAAATTTTGTAATAATTGTAATTTTGTTTGTGACACCTGAACAAAATTAATGTTAGTCGATTTTATTTTTTACACGCCATTGCTCTTCTTTAAACTTACTTGAATGCATTTGCAACTTATATATGCCTCCCTGACTGCAGCAACAATGGTATTTCCCGAGTAAAGCCCCTCTGAAGCAAAATTTCAATATTGATGAAGGAATACAATATATATGTTTTCTGCGTACAACAGAAAACCCAAACGATGTATTCTTGTATCAATATTTGTCTTCAAGCACATTTTCTATTAGGGGGAGGGGATCTTTCACATCTTTCACATTATGATACAATTTAAGTGAAATTTTGGCGAATTTGGGGCCCTTAACACTTAAGAGGGGCTTTACACTGTTCCATGATTTAAGGCTAGCCCTTTTTATAGTTTAGCCAAATCTATACTTAAGAGTTTAAACAGAAGCACAAAAAGTATACAATATGTTCATCTATCTATCTTTTTACTTCTTCTTTTATGTCTTTAACCAAAAAGTAAACATAATATACCCAAAGAGAGACCGTTATCAAACAGAATAAGTAACTAAAATACTATTTCGCTGAACTTATCATTTTACGGAGATTTTATTATAGCACTTAATACGATATCCATAAGCGCTTTACAAATATTAAGATAAAAGGGGGCTTGAAAATTTGAATACATGATTATTTTTACTTTACAGGGTTCACCTATTATCACAAATGTCCAGCAGAGTTCTTGATCCCTTTCTACCTGCTCATCAATGGCTTCATCTTGATTCTGAGACAGTTACTCGATCTTAAACTTAGGTATCAGAGAAGATTATTATCTCCGTCAAAACAACATCTACCACAGCAGCTAACGTGTGGTGTTTGCTGCATCCAGTTACTAACTGTCCTCGCCCTTTCATTCTTCATTGCAAGTAAGATTATTATTATTATAATTTTTTTTTTTTTTTTTTTTTAATGAGATTCGTGACAAAGAATTGAAATCATTTATTTACAAAACAAAATCATAGGCGTACAAATTTACATCACAGTCTGGTAACATTTTCTGAATATAGAAAGCGATTAAAAAAAACTCTTATTGACTGTCAGCACAAGTGTGAGTGAAATAAAAAGAATTTGATCGAGATAATGTATAAGCAATTTTCAACGTTTGATCGACAGTGTGGCTTACTGTAAAACAGAAAAAGTTGTTACAACAATCAGTTATACATGTGTATTTATTTGTTCTACCGCATATTTGTTCACCTATTCACCTTTTCACTTACGATTAACGATTACAATAAAGGATCATTCTTATCATTTAACACGATCGCATAGACTTTAAAAAAACGTAGTTAATGACAAATCATTTCAAAATTGACAATTGCAGAAGACCGCCATATTATCCTATAGAGCTTGGACATGATAGCGTTGTGTGAACATGCCAGTTATAATTTATATTAAACATGAATTCTAGAGGGAATACGATGGGTTATTGAAATTGCTCTAAAGTTAATTTCTGGAAAGTCTTCGCGATCGTGTTATTTTACCAATGTATACGCCCTGCCCCCCCCCCCCCCCTCCGGGATCGGAGGGACCGCATGCGTGTTCCCAAAATGTCCGGTAAAGGGGTACTTTTCACGCCCCAATGTCCGGCTCGTAGTACATAAAAATCCGGCTCGTATTGACTTTACACACCGGACTTATATAGGGGGTGGGTGCTTTCAAAAGGAGGGAACATGCATACGAGTACCCTAAATAACACTGAGTGGGGGGGGGGGGGTGTATACGGCACTAGACGTGCTCTCGAGATAGATGCATTTGAAAGATAATACTAATTTAGAACTTCCCTAAAAAAGGTGGGGCTTGAAAATGTCTTCAAGTGGGAAAATAACGACTATTAGTTGTCAAATCGACTTTACAAAGCCCTTCATATTCAATACAAAATTAACGTTTTGCCTCCCTTTATAGTTCGGATGTATACAGCTTTCTTGTGTGCTATAGAAATATTTGAATGGCATTGAATATGTTGACTTTGCAGGTAACATCTGGATTGTGAGCGTGAGCCCTGTGAATGATCGATACAGTCTCAACTTCTGCCATCCTTTCCTCTACTCGTACGTGTGCTGGCTGACGATAGGAACATACTCACTGCTGGCTTTGGGTGTATGCTTCTGTTTTGGAGGCACAGTCATTGGGTGTGCAGTGAGAGGGTGTGACTGAAAAACAGCTCAATGGGTACATGCTTTATTTAGCTGCACCAAGACGGCTGCTGACCAAATATATACGCATACTTGTAACTACAGTATATTTACATTGTATTTACACTGTAGCTCATAAAGGTGGAATTTTTTTTTTTACCCCAATTTATGGAATTATTTTAAAAATAATTTTAAAATAATAGATCTAGATAATAGTATACATTCTCAGATTGTATTGAATAATAATTTGCCAATGTGTGTTTTGCGTGACTGCTAAAGCATGTGTATGCTACTATGCTTATCAACTAGGGGACATACGCTCTTAAGTCATAAATGACAGTAATGAGGATTAATGCCCCACAAAAGGGCACTAATACAGCACATCGACATTTACGAGGCCATTGCTTTGTCACTGAACATATTTTAATTCAAACCTTTGGCACAGCCTCGACAAGTTCAAATTTATTTGAACTTTTGCAGTGACCCAAATTCCATTTGATTTCTTTACCTTTAAATGTACTGCTCAGTGACCTTCTGATGTTTGTATAACTTGTATTTTTTTTCTATTTTTTTACACTTGTGTTATCTTTTATATATGTTTTTTATTGAATGGAATGAATAAAATCTTGAATCTTGAATGACTGTACGCAGCGGGGGCTAGGGTAGGGGGCACTTTCCATTAATAATTTTTTTTTTAAAGAAAATGTAATAAATTTTCAATAATTTATTGCATTTACCCCGGTTCCCAACATAACAAAATCTTCTGTGTGCCCATGCCTTGAGCCATAATGCATGGCCGTCCTCATTATTGTCATTTATGACTTGAGGGCATAGGTCCCCTAGTTGATAAGCATACACATGCTTTAGCAGTCCCGCAAAACACACATTGGCAAATTATTATTCAATAAAATCTGAGAATGTATACTATTATCTAGATCTATTATTTTTAAATTATTTTTAAAATAATTCCATAAATTGGGGTAAAACTAAAATATTCCAACTTTATGAGCGACAGTGTACATTCATGTTACAATAACTAATTGTCATACTGTATGAAGGTTTCATTATCACAATACACAATCAAAAGAGAAAAGATGATTACACTAGTATTAATGTAGAACATCAAAGAAAGCCCCATTGTCACTTTCAAATGTGGAAAATTGAAGAAAAAAAACAGCCTTAATCTTTAAACAGTTTTGGATCTAGTGAGATATATGGTATACACTGGATATTACCCAATAAATGCATGGATTTATAAAGACTGTCTGCTGCCATCTCTTGTTTTTTTCGCTCAAAATGATCGTGAAAATAAACAATACAAGAGAAACAAGAGATAAAGTACGAGAAACTTAACGCGTAACACGAAATACTGAAACTTTTATAACAAGAAGAAGAATATATTTCAAGTTATTAATATGATGAGTCTAGCGCATTTCCAGGAATTTATATGAATGTTTATCTTCGATATCAAATCAAATATGTTTAAAGTCGTTAACCTATCCTCGCCCCCCCCCCCCTTTGCAACGCCCAGTATTTAACGAGGTCAGATTTACTCTACTTTGATGAGTCAGCAGGAATTGTACTAAAGAAGAAAGTATTAGTCAGTTTTAATAAAAGCTTCTTTAGATTGGGGACTTTGTGATTGTCTATTTGACCAATTGCAACAACAATATATGTTATCGATGTTGTTGGTTGTTGTAGTATTTTTTAATCATTTCCAGAGAGAATCGTTTGACAGAAAATTGACTTTCATGATTTAATTTTAAATGTTATGAAAGACATCTTACACTATTTTGATAGCAGCAATATACTAGCACTTTCAAATAATAATATTGATATACATTTATGATTATAGTTCGAACTTTGTCTCTGTTCTTTCACGAATAACATGTGTCAACAAGTGTTATAATATTGTGCCTTATAAAATTATGTCAAGCATAATTGACAGACAATGGACTTCCAAATCAGTGTACTTAATATTGTTTAAAAATACCATTATAATAATCCAATTTGAATTTTACATGTTTGTTATTTGCTCTTTGAAATATATGTAGATCAGATTGTCAGTAACATATTAAAATGTCATAATAACTCATATCTTTTATGTTTTTCATAAAAAAGCAAGGAAGATGTAAAATATATCAGGAGGTATGTTGAAGGATTCCATCAATGTGTTGCTGGTGGAGGTGGAGAGAGAGAGAGAAAGAGAGAGAGAGAGAGAGAGAGAGAGAGAGCGAGAGAGAGAGAAAGGTGGGGGAGAGATATAGAGAGAGAAATTGAGGGAGTAAGAGAGAGAGCGAGAGAGAGAGAGAGAGAGAGAGAGAGAGAGGGGGGGGGGGTAAAGAGAGAAGTAAGAGGGGGAGGCAAACGGTTCTCTCCTGATCTACACTGTGTGACATGTAGGGCGGCGGGCGTCTTTCAAAGAGGGGGGCACTAACAAAAAAGGGCTCTCTCTGGAAAAATATGGCACCTACAAAGGGAATCCTCAAAGCGAAAATGTACAAGTTTTAGACATGATTATATTTTCCTATATTGTGATTAAATGATCAGGGATGAATTCAATGTTTGTTTCTCTCTTTATAACTAGATCCAAGATACTGCTTAAGCATCTGACTTTGCAGTTGGGAGTGATGGTCTGAATAATTTTTTGCGAGCGACCAAACATTTTAAGATTAGTGAGGTCGCATTGCGAAAAATTACATCTTATAAAGAGGAAGAAAAAACACCAGTAGTGAAAAAAGAATGCAAATGTCATTTACCAAACCACCCAATCTTTATAAAAATATTAATCTTGCGAAAACAATTATCATTGAAGAAAATACATTTACCAAATAATAATATGAAAAAGAGGTAGAATGAGGGACAGGAGGAGAAAAAATGTCACGCTGCGAGTAGGGTTCGAACCTACGCGGGAAGATCCCATTGGATTTCAAGTCCAACGCCTTAACCACTCGGCCATCGCAGCTCCATGGAGAGTCAGTTGTAACCAATATTCTGTCATACCACACTTAACATAATTATAGTTAAGGAAACTTTACACAAACTAGGGGATTAATGAAAGTTTGATATAATCGTTACATCCAATTATTATATCTACACTATTTCAATTACGCATTCTATATAATTCTGGAGTTAGTTATACAAATACAGGAAACCTTGTAACTAATTAATTGGGATTACGTGAGGGAGAGGGAACTCAATTTCTTCTTACAATCAAATGAGAGATTTGAAGAAAAAAAAACATTTGGAAAAGGTGATCGTTATTCAAGTTAGGTTAGGTTATTTTGTAGCTCAGTATTTAACCAGAATACAATCAAAGTAACTTCTATTTCATAACTTTTCATATTTAAGGACAATTCTTTCAGCTGTAGAGTTACCACATGTGTTATTCTGAACACTATACCACCTTTGACGTTATTATAACAATGCTAAGTGTCATAAGAAATGGATTTGGACAAGTCACTTGTTAAAGTCTGCGCAAAACTGGCTACGTTTCTGATACTTAAACCTTTGTGAAACACCCCCCTAATGGGATTTGAAGCACAATCTGATCATGAAGACTGGAAAGCTCTGAATATATCAGTATGAAGTACATTATGTGTGTTCGACATCATTTGAAATGGCATGCCAAGCGTGTCAAGGTAGGCCTTCATGTTTTGATTTTCTTTCACATGATGCAAACATTGAATAAGAGGATAATAATAATAATAGGCATTTGTTTAGTGCCGTCTATCTAGACAATGCTATTCCGAGGCGCACAAGAAAAATAGAAAGAATGAGAAAGTTTGGACGAGAAAGTTCGGATGAGTGTCATAGCGCCAAGTACAGGTATTGTTAAAAAAGATAAGATTTCAGCTTGAATTTAAAGGATGTAATGAGAGAGAAAGAGAGATGGGATAGAAGTAGGAAAAGTCGGAGAGAGGGAGAGAGGTGGAGAAAAGAGATCGACGAGGTAAAGGGTGCGAGAGAGAGAGAGAGAGAGAGAGAGGGAGAGAGAGTGTGTGTGTGTGTGTGAGAGAGAGAGAGAGAGAGAGAGAGAGAGAGAGAGAGAGAGAGAGAGAGAGAGAGAGAGAGAGTAGTGAGAGGGGGCGGCAAACGCAATCTCTCCTGATCTACTTTATGCAACATGTAGTGGCGGCGGGCTTCTTTCAAAGTGGAGGGGGGCACCAACATAAAGGGCACTCTCTGGGAAAAGGGGGCCCCTACAAAGGGAATCCTCAAAGCGAAAATGTACAAGTTTTAGACATTGATATATATTCCTGCATTGTGATTAAAGGATCAGGGATAAATTCAATGTTTGTTTCTCTCTTTATAATTATGATCCAAGATACTAATTAAGCATCTGTCTTTGCAGTTGGGTGTGATGGTCTGAATAATTTTTTGCGAGCGACCAAACATTTTAAGATTAGTGAGGTCGCAGTGCGAAAATTACATCTTATAAAGAGGAAGAAAAAATCACCAGTAGTGAAAAAAAATGCATACATCTTGTACCAAACCACTCGATCTATATCACAATATTAAATCTTCGGATAATACTTATCATTAAAAAAAATACATTTAACAAATAATAATAATATCAAAAAGGGGTCAAATGAACGGACAGAAGAAGAAAAAAAGATCTTGACAGAGATAAAAGTAAAAGGTAACCACATCACGCTGCGAGTAGGGTTCGAACCTACGCGGGAAGATCCCATTGGATTTCAAGTCCAACGCCTTAACCACTCGGTCATCGCAGCTCCATGGATAGTGACATATAACCAATATTTTCTCATACCACACTTAACATAATTATAAAGGAAATCTTACACACACTAGGGGATGAAAAGAAACTTTTATATATTGTTACATCCAACTTTACTATATCTACAATATTTCCATTACGCATTCCATATAGTCCTGAAATTAGTTACAAAAATGGAGGAAACCTAGCTTGCCGGCGCTATAATTTCTCTTTGTTTTCAAATGAGAGGTTTTAAAAATACATTTGGAAAAGTTGATCGTTAATCAAATTAAGTTAGGCCATTCTGTAGTTCAGTATTTATCGAAGTGAACTTTTCAAATTTAAGAATCATTTTTTTAGCTGTATATAAATTATAGATACAACAATTCTGAAAACTATACCACCTTATAACGTTATTAAAACAAGATTTAAAGTGTCATAAGAAATGGATTAGGAAAAGTAAAAGGGGGCACCTTTCCTTTGAGAAAAGGGGCACTTTAGAGGTGTTAAGGGCTCCACCGCCTTTGGTAACATGACAAAGAGAGAGTGAACATTAATTGTTTTATTCCCAAAACTATTGGCGTTCGCTATAGACACCATCCCGACAATAGTTTTTTACAAGGCTAAGTGAATAATCAGTACAGTATAGAGTTAGTCATTAAGAAATTTTATTTTGATGGATTTCTTATTTCTAGGGTGGAAAATCTCAACAAACTAAAATAAATCTGAAGAGAAAATAAAACAATTCCGCGGACCCACAATACCATGGGGAGTTGATAAACCACGCAATGGCCATATGCAATAAAATAGATAAGTCTTGAAATAAGAATAAGAAGTAAACACCGTTGTTGCATTGCGACGGTAAACAACAGGTGAATTAGGTGACCGGTGTCGTCTGTATTACCGATAGGAACGAATGTAATATTCATATTTTCGACAATGGCAACTAATGCAACCTCGTATTATGATCTTGACGGTAAGCTTAACAGCCTTTCAAATTTGAATAAGAAGAATTCTAGTCTCGTAATTGCTAGATCTGAAAAAGTTCGCGAATATAGGCCGCAATCCCCGCGAGTCAGACCACCACAGATCGAACCTAGCTCAGCGGGGAGCTTTCCCATGATAAACGACTGCAGCTCGCTGCCGCCTTGTAGATTATACACCTTAATGTATCGCTATTGTCTATGCTGGCTATTCTAGTGATGTAACATGTTCACCCTATTAATAAGCTACACACTAGACATTTAAGTTCTCGGGCTGGATCATTCAGAATTATCTGTAACTCATAATTATACAATGCAGAAAGAGAGAGAGAGTTATAGTAATATGCCCTACTGCATGTAGCTACTGGATCTGAACAGACAAAGTGCATGATGTCTTGTGACATTGCGATTGTTAGATTGGTAAACTAAAGAGTTATTTCTTACAGCCAGTAGGGAAAGGTACTACAGTCAAGGATCCTACAGTCAACCCTGCCTTAGTGGCCACCTCTCTATAAAGGTCACCTGTCTGTAGTGGTCACCTATAGTGTATCTAAGAAGAAATGTGTAGTGCTGAACCTGTCTACAGTGGCCAATTTTCGTTTTCCCTGGTGGTGTGGCCTTAATAGACAAGTTGGACTTGTATACTTTTGTAAATGAGATACCATTTTCAGTTTGAATGAACATTGTCATGTGCCTGGCAAAAAGACACGAAGGGATGCTCGATCATACATTTATGAAAAGTGGCTTTCCAGATGTGTTACCGTACCTTGAATACATCAACAAAAAACATTTCAGTAAAAACCATCATCAAGAAGTATTTTATATACTGCAGCTTTCAAAACTAAAAAGTTTTATCACTTGGACAAAAAGGTTTTGTGTTTGTAACTTTGCACCCATCTAATGGGCATACAATGACATATTCGTTGAATTGAAAACAGAGAAATTCATTCATTGATTTGAAAACATAAGAATTAATAGCATATTTTCAATTTTTCAGGTACCCTGAGTGACCGTAAGTTGATCACCCTGTCTACTCTGATCGGTGACCGTTACCCGGAGCTTGGTCATCGGCTTGGATTGACCAGGCTACAGCTAGACCAGGTTAGGCAGTCAGGTAACCTTCAGCACCAAGTCTTTGCAATGCTTGCTATGTGGAGGGATACACACAAGGAGAATGCTAGGTTGGGAACCCTTCAAGACATCGTCAAGGACTTGGGTTGGATATCGGTCTACACACAGATCAGGAACACTCCAGACAACTTTTATGTTGTTTTATAAACTATTCACTCGACAAGGATGCCGCTAGACTAAATACAGGACTGCTTGGCGATACATGTATTTCCATGCAGTAGCTAGGACCCTGGGGGAGAAGGGGGTTGATCAGGGGGCATACCAATTGAATGGACATGTGTGAACCTCCTCCCCTCCCCTTCTAAACACAACTGTCTTTTTTAATTGTGCTTCTTGTCAGTTATTTTTACACAAGTGTGTTTTGCAGGTGACCCTACCCTGGGAAAATAATCATGGATGTGCCATTATTATTTTTGTAAGAAAACTTGGGTTGGGAGTTTCCATATAGAGAAAGAGCAGTCAATTTCATTTAAAGTTGGAGGTGTTGTGTCCATTCATCTAGTCCATTTGTTGATTTTCTTTTTATTTCAAACACAAATTTATTCACATGCAAAATAACTTTCTTTATTTGTCAAACATGACAAATTATCATTTAATACCAAAGTATTTGTAAAGATGTTAATGCCATTGATATTGATCTTTTTCATTGGTAGCAGTGACAAACTAGTATGGCAGTGACACTTGTACATATGTTTGAGGAAAAATGAGTTCACATGCAGAAGAACTAAGTATGTTATATTAGACTGCTTGACTTAACTGTGCCCAGAAGCTAATTATATGAATGTTTTGGATGTATGCTTAAATTAATCTTTATGTAAAAACATCTATAAATTCAGAATTTGTTTAAAATGTAGTATGAGCTGCATGGTTACACCCAATTGACCAGGCATGGTGGCTCAGTGGTTAGAGCGCCTGCCTCATGAAAGGAGGTCCTGGGTTCAATCCCCGGCCGAGTCATACCAAAGACTGATAACAATGGGACCTTCTGCCTTCTAGCTAGGCGCTCAGCATATTAGATTGGAGAAGGGTAGTAATAACATATTATGTTATGCAGGGTCCGCTGGAAGAGCAGTTTCATAACTGAAGTGGCTACCCTGGGTAGCCACTTAATTAAACATTATTATTATTATTATTTAATTACTTTTATAGGAGCAAAATTATTTTTCAGTTTCCCCCCTCCCGCGCAAAGCGCGGAAGCTTTGACATTTCATTAAATTATTACTCTTAAACCTTATCTAAATTCATTTTCTCCTCTCCCGCGCGAAGCGCGGGAGCTTTGACATATCATTAAATTATTAGAGAAAAAAGACGATCGTTTTACCGTTCTCAACTCTTAATCCTTGTCTGAATTCTGTTTCCCTCCACTCCCGTGCAAAGTTTTTACATTTCATTAAATTATTAGAGAAAGAAGACAATCGTTGTACCGTTCTCGACTCTTAATCCTTGTCTGAATTCTGTCCCCCCCCCCCCCCTCCGGCGCGAAGCGCGGAAGCCTTGTCGTTTCATTAAATTATTAGAGAATTATTAGAGAAAGAAGACGATCGTTGTACCGTTCTCGACTCTTAATCCTTGTCTGAATCGAGTTTCTTTTAACGTTTCATTAAATTATTACTCTAAATCCTCATCTAAAATCCGTCCCCCCCCCCAAGAAAGAAGACGATTTGTTGTACTGTTTTCGATTCTTAATCCTTGTCTGAATTCAATATACCCACTCCCGCGCGAAGCTTTGACATTTCATTAAATTAGAGAAAGAAGACGATCGTTGTATACCGTTCTCGACTCTTAATCCTTGTCTGAATCGAGTTTCTTTTAACTTTTCATTAAATTATTACTCTAAATCCAAATCTGAAATCTGTCCCTCCCTCCCCGGAAGCTTCGACATTTTATTAAATCAATAGAGAAAGAAAACGATTCGTTAGACCGTTCTCTACTCATAATCCTTGTCCGAATTCAGTCCCCCCCCCCCCTTCCCGCACAAAGCGCGGAATCTTCGACGTTTCATTACATTATTAATCTTAATCCTAGTCTGAATTCAATTCCCTTGCTCCAGTATATTGGTATATCGATTGATCATAAGAATTGCCATACTCTCACAACTTCCAAGAGATGTCTGAAAACTCATATTTTCTCATGTCTTGTAAAATTCCTCTCTGTTTGTAATTGATGCAAGCTTCGCATGATAATGTTTTCTCTTTTTGTTTGTCTTTCTTGTTTATGTGCTTTGCATGTAATGGAAAGGCGCTTCATGGTCCTGAATGTAATATATTATTATTATTATTATTATTATCATGTTTGTATCAAGTCATGTACTGTAAAGCCTGAATTGATATCTAGGAGTACGTATAAATCATATAAATTGCTTCAAAATTAAAATGGGAGGAAACTGTTGTCTGATGATGACCAAAGTCTGTATTTATATATAAAGTGTATGTTTATTATTTTATAAAACAGCATGGGGTCCATTTAGTAGTTTATCAATCAACAGTCTTTATACCTTTAGTAATCCCCTCCCCCCGGCCAACCCTTCCAAAAATGAAGAGAAAATGATCAGGTAATTTTTTTTAAAAACTTTACTTCAACAGGATCAATAACGTCTTCTTTCTTTCCATGCTAACCCCGAATCAGAATTATTCGTGTGATAATTGTATTTTTGTAATATAATAAAATAAAATATGTATTAAATAATATGCCATATTCAAAAAATATATAATAATGTTATCTCGTTACACAGTGTAGTGTGTTATTTGTTATTCCTTTATTAAGAGCGTTTGGAAGATAACCAAGTTCATTCTTCTCTTCTAGTTTTGATATGAACATTGCCTGTTTTTATGACCTTCTTGACACTTTATTTACATCTCTAAAATGAGCAAGTAGATCAAAGTACAATATTTTGTAACATTCATATTCACCGAGCAGATGTAGCATTATTACGGTCAATTACCTTATTATTTCAACAATTGTCATTACTGTATTGTATTTGAAATGAATGTACAAGTTATATAATATGCCTTGTTATTTGCTTACATAATCAGGTGATCAGTGAGTAGTTTCTAAAAGTAGGGCGATCACACTGCCTGCGCACACAGTCTGCCCCATGCACACACACACACACACACACACACACACAACATCAGTCAGTTGGTAGAATTAGCAATTTTCGTAAATTTATTTTTAAAAAACTGAACAATATTTTAAAATTGTTATTTCACATATCTTTTAAGCATACCTTTAACTACAATTCTGTGTAGTTTCATTGTTATAGGCATGTGGGAAATATGTTAAATTATTAATTAGAATATTGTCTTTTCAGCCATGTGTGACATGCCCCGCTGATCGCCCATTGACTGTTATTCTGCGTGGTGAAAATGCACCTTAATGTATATAACTCCACTACGAAAATGCAATATCCTCATGTGTTTCACTCATTATATCAATTTGTTGTTTACACTCAAGGTAGCACAACTGTACTGGGGTAACCAAACTTTGTTTTTCTCTGAAAGTCAGTCCCTGTGGAATGTTATGGCCTGTTGAATGGTTTCTCGGAAAATCGTCATAAATCCTCAAATCTGACATTTTTTTAAAAGAAAACTATACTGTGATGTAGCTGAAAGTCTGCAAATTCTTATCATTTGATCGGTTTTTCTGAATAATTTGTGAAACATGTGAGGAAATAGCTGTAACGGTGATCCAAGTAATTTCCATCGCCATTTTTTATTGACATTGCAAAAATATTTGGAATGTTAATATTTGGTGTAAATATGATTTATAAATATATAATTTAAAAAATGCCAACAAAATGCACAGTTTGACCTTCCTATATATATATATATATATAAAATTAGCTGAAATGACCTAATTTGCATATTTGATGAATATTTATAATTTTTGTTTTTCTTCAACCAACAAAAATATATTTCCATACCTGTCTGATATACATAGATTTCATTGATGTATCATGTTCGGTTTAGATTTGATTACATATGCGCGTATTAATTAGGTGCACTTAGTTATTTTCACAACTTTTGCATATCTGCAGATTCGCAAAAATGGCAAAAATGACTTATTTTGTTTGCTTCTGTTTTCAAAATGGTAATAGAAATATGAATTTTCTTTTTTGTATCTTTACCACAAAGATGATATTTTAGTGTCTGATAATTAGGTGGTCTGTTGAAAACAGATCACCTATTGTTTTCGTCAGAATTTTCTTTCTTTATTTATTCTTTATCTTTTATTTATTTCTCCCCCCTTTTTTGTTCAGAGGATCGATAACTCAATATCAGTTCAGTCAAAGTCGTTCAATTTTGACACAGTAATCATTGTCATAAGACGTGACAGGAACATTTTCAAGGTCATCGAGTCTTCATGACGTCATCCAGGCGCCATTTTTTTTTTTTTTTTTGTGCTTTCAACTCATGATCATATCTTCATAACGGAAAAGCATTTCTCATTCATATTTATCATGATTAAGGTCAATATCCGTCCGGTCAAATTCAGGTAAAAAAACGCGCGCGCATGTGTCAGCTCGCGCGCAAAATTTCAAAATGCTCAAAATCATATCAAATTAATTTTGCATACGTTTCAGGCCATTTTAAGCATTTTGCAAAAAAACGCGCACACGCGAATGCGCGCGCGTTTTCGCGCGTACTGGTATTTTCCAACATAGAATCGCCAATTTTTCTCTGTCATCATATTTGGCACATTTTTTCAAGCATTTTGATACATTGTTCACCTTTTTCTGACCATTAATAACGGAATGACCGTCCGTTTAAGATAATTTCCGTGCGTGCGAGCTCTTGTAATACATAGCATACATGGGCAAAAACATGCCTATACAAAATCCATTGTACGTAGCGCTTTAGGATGTAAGGTGAACCAAATTTTGTTTTGCATATTTTGATAGAGTATGAATTGGAGATATGATTTCATGTCTCATTTGACCCTCAATTAACTCATGACGTCATCATAATGGCCTCCGAACTCATAATTTTAATTTGCATATTATGACGTCAGCAGATTTTTGCAAAATTGATTGTATCTCTGTAAATATTGATCAATTTTCTTTCAAATTTTGATATGTTCTACCTGAGAATAATTTCATTTTGACAAAGGTATCATGGCGTTTTCTTGCGATTAAAGGAGGCATGTCAATTTTTCACATTTTGCGTGTATTCTCTATGGAACATGACTTTTTCTCAAACTGGATTCTACATTCTCGTCTTTCGCGAGCAATATCTCCGTCGTTTTATCTTTGTTTACGCTGAGCTTTGAGTATGTTGTAGCTGAGAAAATAAGCTATCACTAGTGTGCCCTTTATTTTTCGATCAGATGCCGGGATCATGCTCATATTTCACTTACAAAGTGGGATTTGATAATTCCATTTTCCGTTTACGTGTAATCTCTATGGGAAATGTTTTGGTATATCGGTAACGCACTTGACTTCCGACCTCGAGGTCCCTGGTTCGAGTCCGGGCGTCTCCAACAATTTTTTTTCTTCACTTTTTTTTCTTTTTGACCTTTCACTCTACCATCTCCTTTGAATATTAAAACACGTACAATCGCCAAAAATGTAATAAACAACCATATTTACTTTATTATTACCCTATTATCACTAGATCCATTACTTTTGGCGTGTAATCCTTATGGGAGATGACTTTTTTTCAAATCTGGATTCTACATTCTTGTCTTTTGCGAGCAATATCGCCGTTATTTCGGCTTGGTTTTTGTTGATTTTTGAGTATGTTGTAGCTGAGACTATACGCTATCTATATGTTCTCTAATTTTGTTCAGTCTGATGTCATCGTGGTCTGTTGATGATAATCAT